GAGTGCATGGCGGGTGGCGAAGTGCAAGGCTGCAAGCAGGTTGATTGTATGAGGGCGCAAGGCAGGGGCAGTGCAGGAGGTGAGTTTCACACGGAGCCATGTCTCAGGCTGGTACACCAGGCAGCTCCAGGGATGGGTGGATGCCTGCCTTCCGCTGCAAGGCATGTAGCTTGGCGACGTTGGAGGCCAAGAGCCCGCTCAGTTCGGCCGCCAGGGTATCCCTCGTGCCGGCCAAGTCCTCGGCATCTTCTGCGACGGCGCTGATGTCCCTGGGGGAGAGGGCATACGAGTGAAAGGGTCGACCCTTGGGCTGGATCATGGCGACAGGTGTGGGTGCTGGGACTCCGCCCTGCTGATCTGGCATCCTCTCAAGAACAGAACCCCCCGCACAGCCCAATCCTGCCCTGCACCTGCGCAGCTTGTGCAGGCGGTTGAGTACCACCAGGGGGTTGACCTCCGAGTCCCGATATCTGCTGCTAAACTCCTGCTCCAGCCGGTGCCCGATTTGATCCAGCTCAGCCTGAGCCTGGAGAAGGGACGAGGTCAAAGACTCGCTGCCCTCGCGAAGGGATACCATTGAATAGGTAGGAAGCACTTCAGGTTGTATCAGATGTGGAGCGCTCGTGAGCGAAGGTCCACAAGTCCTTGCGAACACGCCGCTGCACAGTGGTGACTTCAAACTTTGCCGCAGCAGGCACAGCTCGCCTCGCACAGTGGATGATGGTAGCCGGGACTTCGGTCATCGTGGCAGAGGCTGTTGGTGAGGTAGACATTGTTGATAGAAAAAACAATGTAGGTGCACTGTGATGATACTCGTGGCCGTGAGTCGTGCTGATGGCTGCATGTCCAACAGGACCTGTGGAGGAGTGATCTGAGGGCGGACGAAGACGCGCGCCAGGATGGCCACGGGAGCTAGGAGTGATTTTGGGGCGGACACACTGGCCATGAGAAATGCTCTGCTTGGCCAGCTCGTCGAAGGCCTCACAGGGGCGAAGGTACATTGCAAGCTGGAGAGTGGACTGGAATACTGTGCTGCCACTGCTGGTGATCGCTCACTCTTTGCCTCACCAACCCCGCCCTCAGCTCCCATGTGCTCTGGCTCTTATTCCTGCAGGAAGGCTCCAGGGCATGGACGCGCCTTGTCAGCAAGGCAACCGCTCACATAACTCACCACCACCACCCTGACGTCAACCTGTCGGCTACAGCCGCCGAGCTCACACGGTGTGCTGTGCTTGGATAGAGACCTCTGGGAGGCCATGAGTGGGGCAAGCAGTACCGGGCCGTAGAGTAAGGCCTATGACCTCCATGTCCATGTGCATGCCTCGGCCGTCCAAGCACTTGCCAAAGCTCGGGCGCACCCATTCCGAACCTGTCCCCACACGACCAAGCAGGGTGGAGGAGCGGCTGGAGGAGGATGCCGACTTCAACCGGCTTGTCGCGCTGCGCATGCTGCGCCTAGACATGGCACCGGGGGCGAGCGCCCCCTGGCCGGCCATCCAGGCCTTCCTCCTGGCGCTCGCAGGCGGGGGCGGCTCTGCACGCCCATCCTACACCCCTCCTCAGGGGCTCCTCCAGCGCGGAGTGGATCCGCCCAGCGGACGAGGACCCCTTGCGCCGGCGCAGGAGGCTCAGGGGGCCTCGCGGCTGCTGGTCTCCTCGGATGACGAGGCTGGATCTGACGGCGATGCCGACCACCTCTCCCGCTGGTCCAGCAGCAGCTCTGAGCATGAAGAGGGGGAGGGGCCATGCTGCACGCTCGACCACTCTTCAAACCTTGCAGAGGTGGGACGCACCGGCAGCGGCCTCGCCGTGTCCCCCCCATCCCCGGTGCTCCTGCAGCAGCGCCTGCAGGCGCTCAACCTGACCCGCCGAGCTCAGGGCGTAGGGGAGGGGTCAGGGCGCACAGAGTCGCAGCTGGGACCCCCAGCCAGCTTCAAGGGGTACCCGCCGGATGCCTGCGTGGTGAGGCTGGCCCTGGCAGGCGCCCCCCCTGGGTCGAGGGGCGCCGTCGACCTGGACCCACGCCTCTGCTTCACCGAGGCGGAGCTCTGCGCCCAGGCGAGTGGCCGCCGCGCCATGGTCCCCTGCGCTGGGATGGGTGCATGGGCTGGAAGGGGTTGGAGTTGGGGGACCGCACATGCTCCTCGCCCTCCATTCACATGGTTGGCCTTGCACCGCCCACATTTCGCAGTGCGTGCGGGCCCCCCCTGCCCCATCGCCCACCGTCGGGCCTCGCCCCAGCTCACTCATCCGCCGGCCCACCCCTCCTCCCACCCTGCCCTGCCCCCAGGCTCAGGCAACCCTGCAGGGCGCCAGGCCCGGCGGCCCCGCCTTCTGCGTCAGCCCCGCCATGGGCGCGCTGGCCGTCGTCCCCGGCGTGCACACCCTGGGCCTGAGCCGGGGGGCCTGCCGCGGGGTGCTGACGCGCTGCGCGCGCTGCGCGGACGCCCTGACCCGCTGCGCGCGCTGGGCCGAGCGCGCCGCGTACTCCGGGGGCGGGCCCGGCGTGCTCGCCGCGCTGGCGGCGGCCGTGGCGCGCCTGGTGCGCGCCTGGCGCGGGGCACTGCGCGACCCGCCGCGCGGCGCCGATGGCCTGCTGGCCCTGCAGCGCAGCGTGCGCAGCGTGCACGCCGCCGCGGCGCTGCTGGCGGGCCTGCTGCCGCGCGCTCGCGACGCGCGGGGCGGCCCCGGCCCCCTCGCTGCCCGGGTGCTGACTGGGCTGGCAGAGGCGCTGCAGCGCGCCATGCTCCTGGGCCACGCAGGTGGGAGAGGCTGTTGGGTGGATTTGTGGGTGTGGCAGGTCATCAGGTGGTTGGGTGGGTGGTTCAGGGAGGTCCGCATGGCCTGGGGGCCGCGGGGTGCATCATTCAGAGCCTGTGGCGCTGGACGGGAGACGGGGGGTGGGCGGCAATGTCCCACACGGCCACACGGGCACACCCCCAGCCCATGCACTGCTCCTGCCCAGGTCCCACGGGATCGACACGCCATCCCCCGCCCCACCTCCCTCACCCCCTCGCCTCGCAGACACGACGCGCATGCTGCGGACGCTGTTCTGCGCCGGGCTGCGGCCCTACCTGCGCTCCCTCCAGGCCTGGATGCAGGAGGGCCGGCTGCCGCCCCCCAGCGACGGCTTCTGCGTCGTGCGCGGCGCGGCGCACCCCTTTGGCCCGGAGGCCGGCGCGACGCTGGCGCGGGGGGCCATCGCCCGGCACGGGTCGTGCGTTCCCGCCTTCCTGGCGCCCGCCGCCGGGGACGTGCTGCGGGGGGGGCGGGCGCGCGCGCTGGTGCGGATGGCGCCCGGGGGAGGCGTCGAGGAGCCGCACGATGGGCACGGGACCGGGCAGCACTCGAGGGCCCCGGCCCTGCACCGCACGACCACCCTGGACCGGGTGACGGCGGGGTCGCCCGCCAAGCAGCGGCTGAGCACGCTGGGTGCGCTGGGCGAGGCGGGTGGGCAGGCCGCAAAGGTCACGAGGCGGCCGTCGGGCGCCGTGGTCGGCTGGGTCGGCGAGCAGGAGCCTGACGGGGAAGGGGCGCACGCCGACACCTGGCACCAGGCCGTCCGCTTTGGGCTGGAGCCCGGGACGGGTGCTGCTGCCGGGCTGATGGGGGGTGCAGGTGCAGCCGAGGGCGCGAAGAAGCTGGGACTGGCGGCGCGGGGGAAGGGCGCTGCGACACCAGGTGTCGGGCGGCCAGGCGCCGAGGCATCGGACGTGGCAGCTCCAGCCTCCGCAGGCCCCGCGCCGGGGGCAGGGCCCGCCGCACGCTGCCGAGGGAGCTGCTCGCCGTCAGCGGGAGGGGCGCTGCCTGGGCGCGGCGGCATGGGGATGGATGCCACTGCCGCTGCTACCTCTCCGCCAATGTGCCCCGTTAGCCCACCCACGTCCCCGGCCGCCTCCGCCCCCTGGCTGCACCGCCGGAGGGCGGCGAGGGACTGCTGCCGTCTGGTGCTGGAGCCGAGCGCGCGCGCCGTGCCGGACCTGCCTCCCCTCCCGCCCCTCGCCCCGCTCCTCCCCGAGCACGAGGGCGTGGAGTGGGAGGGCGCGGCAGGGCTGGGGCGTGCAGGGGAGCCAGAGGACGCAGGGGAGGACGCAGGGGAGGACGCAGGGGAAGGCGCAGGCGCGATCCCGGCGCTGCACGGCGCGGCGGAGGCTCCGCGAGATCTCGGTGCCGCCGATGTTGGGGCCCGGATGGCCGCCAGCGCAGCGGCCGGCGTGGTGTCCCTGGGCGTGGACCGCTGCGAGGCGGGGGCCCCTCGAATCGGCCCTGGAAGCCACGGCCGCAGCGGAACCCTGGGCCAGGCCAAGCATGTGCCTGCGCCAGGCTCCCCGACGCCTCGCGAACGGCAGAGGCATGAGTTTGCAGTGGAGGAGTGGGCGTCGTGGTTTACGGCGCTGGAGCAACAGCTCTGCGACGGCGCCAGGCTTGCCGAGGTGGTCGGCGCTGCGGTGGCGCCAGAGCCGGCTGGGGCGGTGGTCGTGGCGCCGGGCCGGGCTCGGGCTCGTGCGAGGGTGCCGCCGAAGGGAGCGGATGCCGGAACAAACACGGCCACCGCCGACCCCTGCGTGGTGGAGCCGTCCCTGCCTGCCCATCTGCAGAGGACCCTGCTGTCACGCGTCGCCGCCGAGGCGCGTGAGACCCAGGAGGGGGAGGGCTGTGGGCCCTCTGACCCTGTTGCGTCGGTCTGGGTGCACCTGTAAAGGGATTGGCTGGTTGCCCATAGTGCCCCGCTGCCACCACTTCCCCTCCCCCACCCCTCTCCCCCACGACAGGCTTCTCTCGCCAGCGCCAGCCTGTGCGCTGCTATGCATGCCGCGGGCGTGCTGGACCAGTTGGCTGCGCTGCAGCGCCTGGCTCAGCCGGGCACGCTGGACGGCTTTGCGGAGCGGCTCTTCCTCCGCATCAGGTGGGAATGGGGTTGTGCGGGATAAGGTGCCATGCCCGTGCTCTGGAAGAATTTCTCCCTCTTCCTCTACCGGTGGGCAGTATACACGATCTGCGCACAGCTGACCAGCTTCATCTGCCAATGGAGAGCACAGCCACGGCCCCGGCCCCCCCCCTGCGCCAACTCCCTGACTCCACCCCCGCTTCCCACACCTGCCCCTCTGCTCTCAGTTCCTCCCTGGGCTTCAATGGCCTGAGTGCCTGGGAGCTGGATGATATGCTCCGCGACTCTGTGGAGACCGAATTCAGCGCCTGCCTGCCCTTTGAACTCACAGGTGAGCTAGTCGCTTGTGGTTTCGGTTTGTCCCACCCACTGTGGATTCTCTGTGGTTGTAGGTAGCTGTCTCGACAGTGCAAAGAATGCATCATCATGGGAATGGACAGCCGGGAAAGGAAACCCAGGTGCCTCCTCCCCACAAGGTGGCCCTGATCGCGCCCTCACCCCCATGCCCACCTCGCCCCGCTGCAGTGAGGCTGGTCGCCCCGGCGCCCCCTCCCCCCCCGCGCAGCCGGTCAGCCTGGGTTTGGCCGCTGACCGGGGACAAACCGTTGGCCACCTGGCTGTTGCGCCTGGAGTTTGCCCTGGCCCCGGCCTGGCCCCTGAGCCTGCTGGCCGACGAGGCCCTGACGCGCCAGGTCAGCTCCGCGCTGACTTGGCACCTGCAGCTGTCCTGGGCGCGGCGTGCGGTGCTGAGCCAGCGCCTGGCCTCCTGGCGCGACCGGCGGCGGGGCGGGGGCCGGAGGAATTGTGCTGCCCCCAAAGCCGGGGACGACACCCAGGCGGCCGCCGGGCGCGCGCGGCCCGCGCCCGCTTTCTTTGGCGCTGGAGCTGGAGCACTTCGTGCGCAGCGTGGCGGCCCACTCTGCCTCGCGCCGCGCCGGCGTGGATGCGTGGCTGCGCCAGCGCGTCGCGCGCGCGGCGAGCCTGGAGGAGGCCACCGCCGCGCGCGGCGCGGCGGTGGCCGCCGCCGAGGCCGCCTGCCTGCCCGGCGGGGGGCCGCTGGGCGAAGTACTTCGCGACGCCACGCTGGGCGTGGTGAGCTGCGCGCTGCAGTACGCCGCGCTGGCGCACGCCCAGCGCCTCGCTGAGCCGGGCCCAGGGTATGTGGCAGAGAATCCTCAGAGCGAGGAAGACTCCCCGCACGACGACCTGGCTGCGCCCATCTGCGCTGCGCTGGACGCCCTGGAAAGCGAGGCGCGCGCGCGCTTGCGCGCCCTCTTCCGCCTGCTGGGCCTCCGGGCGGCGGAGCCGGGGGCGCACGTGGACACGCTGCGCACGCTGCTGAGCGGCCTGGACTTTAACTGTTATTACGAGCGCCAGCTGGCGCACGCCTGATGAGACCAGCAGATGGAAGTCTGAAGCTCTGTGACACTCTACTCAGTTTCCATCCTGATGCTTCCTGACCCTTTCCCACCCCTCATCTCTCAATCATCTGTCCATGCACGTAGACTTCTCTTACTGCATTGGAAAACCTCAAGGGAAGGGAGGGGAGACAAGCAGAGCAGGTGGCAGGCAGGCTCGAAGCATTGCAGTGTATGGAAAGAGTATGGTGGGGGGTTGGGCGTGTGCCGCCACGGCCGAGAAGGGACCTCAGGCCGTGAGTGTATAGAGCCAAAGGGGCATAGTGATACAACTTGGATGGAATGTGATTTGGGGATGGAAACGCTCCAGGCAATGGTGGGGTAGGGGGGCACGAGCCAGCGGGCAGGCCGCCGCAGTTGGCGCCCTCGCGGAACGGCCATGCCCGTCAGGGGTGCATGGCAGCCCCGCCCCCTTCCGACTCCTTGCCCTTGGCAAAAGGTGGGTGTGGTGCCCCACTGCTTGAAGAGTCAGCGTATCCAGGGCCGACCAGCAGAGCCTACTCCTCGCGTGACGCGAATAATTCCAAGGCCTCCGCTCAGACCATGACCTCGCGGCCTGAGAGCCAGGAGAAGGCCACTGGCTTGGGCTTGGTCTTGGCGCGCTTCGCTGCCGACTTCTCGGCCAGCTTGCGGAAGCGGGAGGGCAGGCGCAGCACGTACTCCTGGTCGGCACCGGCGTCGCCGGACACGGTGCGGTCCGCAATCTTCCACCTGGAATTCAGGTGCTCCAGGATCTTGCAGTAGTCCTCAGCATCATACACTGGAAGATTGAGGTAAGGAGGGGTGTGAGGGGAAACTGAGCCACATATTAGATGGCGATCCTGAGGGTAGTTCATCGCACCCCAAGTTCACCACACCAAAGCTGGCAGCATCGCGACAAACTGCAGCCGCCCTCCTAGAGATCCCCTCCCTAGAACCGCACCTACAAGCAAACTCACCATCCAGCTTCTCGGTGACTGCCGAGAAGTCGGCAAACAGGTTGCGCCCCGTGTTGCGCGTCCCGTGCTGCTGGTCGTCCATGAGGTGCGCGGGCATGGTGATCTGCTTGCGCATCATGTCGGCGTAGGCAGACATGGCGCCCTCCGGGTCCAGGCGGAAGAACTCCTCCACGATGCGGGTGTAGGCGATCTCGTGCCGCCCCTCGTCCGCGGCAATCACGCCGCAGACCTTGGAAAGCGTGGCGTCGCCATACTGCGCGGCCAGGCGCGCGGTGTTGCCGTGGCTGTACTTGGTGGCGCGCTCCTGCGATGCGAGCAAGGGGGTGGGGCTTGTGAAATGGTCGAGAGGGGGTGAGGGGCCTGGGTGGGAGGTTGGAGGCTCCGGTATGCACGCATGCAAACTCAAAGGTGACGACAACCACCAGCACAAACGAGGACCACCTCCCCGCCACACAAACCGGCTCCTCAACCCCCAAACACACCCCAGCACCCTGTACCTGGAAGGAGGTGTAGACAAAGCCCAGATACGGGTTGTTCTCTGTCTTGGGGTTCATCCCCGACCCGATCAGATTCTGGATGGTCACCTCGATGGCCTTCATGTTGACGCGTCCCGTCAGCCAGCAGTACTTGTTGAGCAGGTCACCGTGGCGGTTCTCTTCGGCCACCCACTGCCGCGTCCAGCGGCCCCAGGGGTGGTCCGCCGCCCCCGTCTCATCGCGCACGCCATCCAGGGTGTTCAGCATGGCCATGTAGGTGGGCAGCGCCTCCTCGGTGATCATGTCGCCCACCAGCACCACAAAGTAATCGTCGGGGACGTTGGCGGCGCGGGCCCGCAGCTCTGCCACCTGGTCCAGGAAGTCGGGGGACTCGGGGTCCGGGAGCAGGTCCTGGGGCTGCCACAGCTTCTCCACGGGCTGCAGGACGGGCAGGATCCGCTCCTCAGCAAAGGCTGACATGCCATTGATCAGCTCCATGCGCTCCGGGGTCAGGGTGTGGGCCTTATCCAGCTTGCTGTAAACTGTGGGCCCGGGCCGGGGGGAGGTGGTGGCCACGGGGACCTCGCTGGCGATGGCAGCGCGCACGGGGAGGGGCCTCGCTGGGCGCCGGGGCCCGGAGCCCGCTGAGCGACGCAGGTCGCCGCAGCGGGCATCGAACGCCGAGAAAGTGGATGCGGTGGCCATGTGGTCGGCTCTCCACAGGAACGCGGTGCCCTGCGCAGCAAGGGGAGGGAGGTGGGCAGCGCGTGACGCCTGGTGGGGAGGCCGTGATTCCCAGCCAGCGGACATGCGATGACAGGATGCCCGAAGTGTGCCTGTTTCGCGGTCGCGTGGTGCAATGTGGGCACCTCCCTGGCATGTGAGCTCCTCCGACACCCAACGCAGGTGTCTCGGGAGGGGTGCTCCATGCGGACACGCACCTGCTGGGGAGCTGAACGATCGATGTCACGAGCTGTTGAGCAGAGTCTGATGCAGTAACTCCCTTGCAGATAAGTGTGTGTTTTGTGGGCGATGCAATTCCTTGAGTATATCACCCGTCCTCGCCAGGCAATCTGGCAATGACAATTTCTGATCGACTCCAGGCCGAGGTCGATGCAGGGTAAGAAATCCGGAATCCAAATTGCTAGAGCGCGCCCTCAGACTCGTCTCGGACCGCGGTCTCCTTCCTGCTGGCCACTCAACGATGTTATGTACGCAGACGAATCAAAAGGCCGGCATCAAAGTGCAGAAGGATAGAACTGCGTGAGAATTGTTAGGTGGTAGCCAGTTTTTGGGGCACTGCAAGCCTTTGCGATCAACCGCACCATGTCCGACACCCCCGGCACATCTGCCGGAACGGGAGCAGAGGACTACGAGCATCCCATCTCCCATGAAGACGTATGAATCTGATTGCATATGGAATCCACTCGCATGCAGCGCACTATCGCCTGGAGAGAGGGGTACTGTTTGATGACGTCATGGTTCCACCTCCACTCTTATCTTTCTCCACCATACAGTTCCGGCAGCTAGGTTACAAGATGATAGATGCCATTGTAGACTATAGATCAAACATTGAAAAGCACCCTGTTCGTTCAGAAGTCGCCCCTGGGTACCTGGCCGAGAAGCTCCCAGAATCTGCCCCCACCCAGCCGGAAGGGCTGGATGCCATCCTGTCAGACGTGCAGACGCACATCATGCCTGGTATCACCCACTGGCAGCACCCCAGCTTCTTCTCGTGAGTCGTGGGAACCTGGAAGGCGGGTCGTGCAGTGATATGGGAGTTGTAAATAGCTGAGGCTTCACTCTGTCGGAAGCATCCCGCTCACTGGCAAACTATCTATTCACATTGCCTGCCAGGAGAGCCTTCATATTCACACAACCAATCTGTGGCGTTTCTTACACCCTCTGAATCTGCAACCTGTAGATGGTATCCAGCGAACTCTTCGTACCCTGCCCTCCTTGGTGACATGCTGAGCTCGGCCCTTGGAGTCGTAGGGTTTGCCTGGATAGGCTCCCCCGCCGCGACAGAACTTGAAACGGTGGGTTTCCTTGGTGTTTTGAAACCATTTGTGGGAGCTGGGAGGAGTTTTGTAGGACATTCAGACCGTGCTCCTGGCAGCAAGCACGGTCATGAGGCAGCGTGACTGCATCCACCTGGCAATGCAAGCTTCCACTGCCGGTCCTGGCTTCCGAAACAGAAAGGCTGTGCATGGACCTTCTCCTCGGATGCCCTCCAATCCCCCTGCATCACCTCCTGCTGCAGGTGACGCTGGACTGGTTGGCCCGGTTCCTGCGCCTCCCAAACGCCTTCCTCTCCACCGGCACCACGGGCGGCGGCGGCGTGATCCAGGGCACCGCCTCCGAGGCGGCCCTGGTGGCGCTGCTGGCCGCGCGCGCGCGGCCGCTGGACGGCCGTGACCCCGGCGCGGACGGCCCTCGCCTTGTCGCCTACACCACCGACCAGGCTCACTCCTGTGTGAAGAAAGCGTGCGCGGTGGCGGGCATCCAGCACCTGCGCCTGCTCCCCACCAGCGCCGAGCGGGGTTGGGCGCTGGACCCCGCGACCTTGGAGGCCGCCATGACCGCCGACGAGGGCCATGGGCTGATGCCCTTCTTCCTCACCACCCTCATCGGCACCACCTCCTCCGCGGCCGTGGACCCCGTGGCCGAGCTGGCGGCGGTCGCCAGGAGGCATGGCGCATGGTGAGCGAGAATGGGGGCTGAGGAACCGCTTGTGCGCGGTGCGATCCCCCCGTGATGCTGATTTTGCCGCCTGTGGCTGCTGGAGCTCTTGAATCCTGACCCGTGCCCTTGCCCTTTGCTGGACCCGCACTCACTCTTCCTCTGGACCGACCCCTACTTGCCAGGGTGCACGTCGACGCGGCCTACGCCGGGGTCTTTGCTTGCCTGCCCGACCAGCACGACCTCTACTTCCAGGGGCTGGAGGGCGTGGATTCCTTCAGCACTAACCCCCACAAGGGCATGCTGGTGACATTTGACTGGTGCGGTGGGCGTGTGAGGTGTTTGATACATGGGGCCGCGAAAGTATTCTCTCGAGACAGTGTCTCGCAGTCGAGGCTACAGACATCTTCTCATGAAAGGAGGACCCCTGTCCTCCTAGCTCCCTCTCATCCCCACCTGCCCTCCATCCCCACACCCATACAGCTCGGCCCTGTGGGTTCAGAACTCGTTCTGGCTGCGCACCGCGCTCTCCCTGGAGCCGCAGTTCCAGTTTGCGGGGCTGCGGCATGCTGCCGAGCACCTCGACTACAAGGACTGGCAGGTGCCCCTGGGTCGGCGGTTCCGCGCCCTCAAGCTCTGGTTTGTGCTCCGCATGTATGGGACGGAGCGTCTCCAGGCCTACCTCCGCCACCAGTGAGTTCGTTTGGGGGAATGCGTAGTTGTTGGGCGTACGTGCCCGGAGGGATGTTGCGCTGAGAGCCCATGCGTCCTTGCTTTGAAAAAAGGCACAAACAAGAAGTGTCTGCCATCTGTCATCGCCAGAGGCACTTGCTCTCCATCATCCTCACGCTCAACCCATCTCGCCACCCTTTCCCAAACCCGCCAGCCTGGACATGGCCAAGGCGCTGGCGCAATTGGTCGAGGCCGACCCCGCCTTTGACATCATCGCCACCCCCCGTTTCGGCCTGGTCTGCTTCGCCCCCCGCGGCGCTAGCGAGGAGGAAAGCACGGCGCTGCTGGAGCGCGTCAACGCGTCGGGGCGCACCTTCATGGTGCACACCCGGCTCGGCGGGCGCCACGTCTGGCGCCTGGCCGTGGGTGGAGTGCACACCCAGTGGCGGCATGTGGAGGAGGTCTGGGCGCTCGTGCAGAAGGTCGTGGGCGGCGGCGAGGCCTAGGGCGCGTATGGAGAGCTGGCGGCGCAGGTTTGGATCTTGCCTCCCTCAGAATTGACTGCCTAGGAGCTGCTCATTCCCAACCCCGCCTGCGATCTGGACTGCCTCCCGCCAAACAACACTGCCAACCTTCCCCAATTTGCAGCCTGCCGGACAATGAGGCGTTCTTCATATACAACAGAAAGCAAGCATGAAAGTGCCAAGAAAACAGGGAAGAAAATGGACAGGGAGAGGACGTGCCGAGAGGCAAGGGGACCGACCACGCACCAATCGGTCACAGGGAAGGAGGCTCAGGTTTACGTCAGCGGCGTGCCTGACTCAGATTTCGGCGTGCTGCGGCTTGCCCACCTTTGTGGCCCGCGGCTGGATGCCCTTGAAGTTCGGGTCCCTGATGCGGAAGATCCTGTCCAGCACGTCCTCCACTGCCCGGTCCGGCGTCGACGCGCCGGAGGTAACCCCGATGCGCAGCGGCATGCTGGCGTCCCGGGGGATCCAGTCCCGCGTCTCCACCAGCTCGCCGTGCGCGAGCTTGTGCAGCACCGAGTTTGTGCTCACGTCCACCCGGTCCGCGCAGTCCACCCAGAAGGACGGGATGCCCTTCATCTCACCAATTTCCTACAAGCAGGGGGGATAGAGCGCGAGATAGTGAGTTGTTTCTGTAAAGTTGGGTCTCTGCGAAGTGGATGCACTGCCTCCTTGTCTGGATAGACCCTTCCCACCTCAAGTCCACGCTTGCCAGAGGTCACACGGGGTGCCTTTCAGGGCACCGTGCGCCCCCCCATCACATCCTCCTCCTCGCTTAGAATACATTTATCTCTCCTCCCCCCTCCCCCACCTGAAGGTGGCTAGTGTTGGAGGAGTTGAACCCACCCACTACCAGCAGCATGTCCAGCGCCTCCTCCGGCCGCTCCTGGGCGCCGGTGATCTTGAACACCGCGTCCTGACGCTCCTGGGTGGCGTCGCAGATGGTGTCCATGATCATGAAGCGGCGGGACAGCTCGCCGGGCCCAAACCGCTGCAGCTGGGTGCGCTCAAGCAGTTTGCCGATGGCCTGGGTCTCGCCCTGAGGGTCAGGAGGTAAGGGGGACGGTGCATGGACGCGCTACTGACCTGAGCACAGGGTTCAAACCCACCCCAAGAACCTTGAACTCCCCCAACACACCCACCCACCTTGAGCATGGTGGTCTGGTTGGCCATGCCGATGCACTGCAGGTCGCGGACGGGGTCAAAGCCCTCGCTGTAGGCGTGTTTGAACTTCTCCAGGAAGAACGCAGAGTCGCCGCCGTTGACCATGAAGTCGCACACCCACTCCGCCTCGGCCAGGTCCTTGACGATGAGGTAGGTGCCGGCAAAGGAGGCGGTGGCCACCGTCTCCTCGTGCGCCCACTTGCCGTGGATGATGCTGGTGTGCCCCTTGCGCGCCTGGTTGTCCACCGCGTTCCACACCTTGCTCACCCAGGGGCAGGTGGTGTCCACAATCTGCACCCCGCGCTCGTGCAGGTCCTTCATCTCCCCTACCGCCGCGCCAAAGGCTGGGAGGATGACCACGTCCCCCGCCGCGACGCGGGAAAAGTCCTTGAGCCCGTCGTCGCGCGTGGCGATGAAATGCACGCCCATCTCCCGCAGGCGGTCATTCACGGAAGGGTTGTGGATGATCTCGTTGGTGATGTGCAGCTCGGCGTCGGGATAGCGGTGCCGCGCCTCGTACGCCATCTGCACCGCGCGCTCCACGCCCCAGCAGAAGCCGTAGGCCTCGGCCAGGATGACGGTGATGCCGGCCTGCTGCCAGGTGTTCCCCGTCTCCCGCATCTGGGCCACCAGGCCGGTGCGGGAGTAGCCCACGCCGTGGGCGTCCATGGACTGCAGGGGGCCCTCCTCGTTGGTCAGGCGCTTGGTGTAGGTCCCGGACTTGGACAGGGAGCGGCGGAAGGCGCGGGCGTCCAGCTTCTTGGCCTCACCCTCAGGCTTGGAAGCTGCCAGCTCCAGCACACGGGCGGCGTCCTGGGCGCTGGCAGCCCGGACCGCGACCGGTTGCGTGCTCCTGCCGGTGCCAGGGTGCCCGGCGCGGCGCATGGGCGCCAGGCAGGGCCTGGACTGGATGGAGGTGACGAACATGGCGTCCCCGCCCGGTTCGAATGCGTGAGGGCCGACCAGGAGTCGACGGGAGGCTGAGAGGGGCCTATGTCACCGGTACAATGCTCAGGAAGACTGATCACCGCTTAAATGATCCTTGCAGTGCCGCATGTGGCAGGACGGGGGTGCAACGCCCCGCGATTGTGTCCCTCCACCCTCGAAAGATTCGCTCCTTTCCTCCCCCCGGGCACCGCAGCACGGCGGGAAGGGGGTGACTCGGAAATTCTAGAAGTGCACCGCGGGTCAATGGGAGGACCCCTTTGTGATCTGCACCACACGCGCTGGACTGCGAATCATCCCCTGATCTGGCATCATGCAGGGAGCACGCAGCCTCCTGACTCAGGCCGCCCGGTCTGGCCGCAAGTCGGTGCGTGGGGTCGGTGATGGCCGTGCACGGGGTGTCGGGGAGCATGTACCTGGGGTGGTGCAGGGGTTCCTTGCACCACATCATCGATCCATTTCGAATAATCCATGCCGAAACAATAATGCAGCTAGACCATGCACGGCGCCCCGATGCCCTCCCTGGCCCCCGCCCCACCACAGGTCCTGGCCTACTCCCAGTCCCGCGGGTATGCCGCCAAGGACATCCTGTTTGGCGACGCCTGCCGCGCCTCCATGCTGCAGGGCGTGGAGAAGCTGGCTGACGCCGTCCAGGTCACCCTGGGCCCCAAGGTAGGCTTGTGTTGTGGAGGAGTGGCTGGGTAGCCGGTTGGAGTTTCCAGGGGTCATCGCTGGGAGGGGTGGTGAGTCACCTGGAAGGCGCATAAGGGTCTGGAGTGGGGGATTGGATTGTGCCTCCCCTGCCACGGCACTGCAGCCCAAACCTTGTCTGTGGAAAGCCGGGCCTGGTGCATGACAGGCTGCCGGCCCGCGCCACGAGCACATGCCTGGTGGCCTGACCGCGGGATGACAGACGCAACCGCGAAACCCTACCCAGATGTGCCTACCCCCACCCACTTGCATTCACACCCACCAACAGGGCCGGAACGTGGTGATCGAGCAGCCGTATGGCGGGCCCAAGATCACCAAGGACGGCGTGACTGTGGCCAAGGCGGTGGAGTTTTCCGACCGCTTCCACAACCTGGGCGCGGCGCTCGTGAAGCAGGTGGCCGGCGCCACCAACGATGCGGCAGGCGACGGCACGACCACGGCCACGGTGCTGACTCGCGCGATCCTGGTGGAGGGGTGCAAGTCGGTGGCGGCGGGGATGAACCCCATGGATCTGCGCCGCGGTATCAACCTGGCGGTGGACCACGTGGTGAGCGAGCTGAAGCGCCGCGCGCGCCAGATCAGCACCACGGAGGAGATCGCGCAGGTGGGCACCATCTCGGCCAACGGCGAGCGCGAGGTGGGTGAGCTGCTGGCGCGCGCCATGGAGCGTGTGGGCAAGGAGGGCGTGATCACGGTGCAGGACGGCAAGACGCTGGAGACGGAGCTGGAGGTGGTGGAGGGCATGCGCTTCGACCGCGGCTACATCTCGCCCTACTTTGTCACCGACAACAAGACGATGCGCGTGGAGCTGGAGGACGCCTACATCCTGATCGTGGAGAAGAAGATTTCCGGCATCCAGTCCATCATCCCCGTGCTGGAGGCGGCGCTGAAGACGCAGCGCCCGCTGCTCATCATCTCCGAGGACGTGGAGAGCGAGGCCCTGGCCACGCTCATCGTCAACCGTCTGCGCGCCGGGGTCAAGGTCTGCGCGGTCAAGGCCCCCGGCTTCGGCGACAACCGCAAGGCCAACCTGGCCGACATCGCGGCGCTGACCGGCGGCCAGGTCATCTCCGAGGACCTGGGCATGAAGCTGGAGAACGTGGACCTGAGCCACCTGGGCACGGCCAAGAAGGTGACCGTGTCCAAGGACGACACCGTGCTGCTCAACGGCGGCGGCGACCGCGCTGCGCTGGCCGACCGCTGCGACATGATCCGGGAGGCGATTGCCGCCTCCACCTCCGACTACGACCGCGAGAAGCTGGAGGAGCGGCTGGCCAAGCTGTCCGGCGGCGTGGCCGTGCTCAAGGTCGGCGGCCACTCCGAGTTCGAGGTGGGCGAGCGCAAGGACCGCATCGTGGACGCGCTGAACGCGACCAAGGCCGCCGTGGCGGAGGGCATCGTGCCGGGGGGCGGCACCGCGCTGGTCTATGCCTCGCGCAGCTTGGAGTCTGTCAAGGACGCCTGCGCCAACTTCGACCAGCGGACGGGGGTCAGCATCATCCAGCGCGCCATCCGCCAGCCGGCCGCCACCATCGCCGCCAACGCGGGGCAGGAGGGCGCCGTCATCGTGGGCAAGCTGCTCGAGCGCCCCGAGGCCGACGCCGACGTGGGCTACAACGCGGCCACGGGCGAGTTCGAGGACCTGGTCAAGGCGGGGGTGATCGACCCCATCAAGGTCGTGCGCGTCGCGCTCACTGACGCCGCGTCGGTCGCCTCCTTGCTCACCACCGCCGAGGCCGTGATCGCCGAGGCGCCCAAGCCTGAGGGGGCGAGCCCGGCCATGCCGGGCGGCATGGGCGGCATGGGCGGCATGGGCGGCGGCTTCTAGAGCGCGCCCCAGCTTTGCGCGCGCGGGGGCTGGAGGGCATGGGAGGTCGAGGGGTGGGAGGTCGCCGTGGCAGCAGGCACTCCCAAGCCGACGGGCGATGCGGCAAGGAGACGGCTCGCCAGACCGCGGCGCCCGCATGTGCCTCTTCCGTGGGCTCCGGACTCCGGAGCTGCCCAAGTGCCCATGCGCCATTGGTAGCCCCTCCCGACCCTCCAAATCCTCTGGTGACCCTGTTCCGCGCGGCGCCACACCCTCGGCCCCCCCCCTGTCTGAATGGACTGCCCCTTCCCACACCAGCCTCATCCCTTTCCGCTCTCCCATCACTTGCTGCTCGGTGGCATGCGCGTGACACGCTGTAATGCACCATGACTTCCCTCACGGGAGGCCCAGCGGTAGGCTGGTCCAACAGAAGAACGATGGGCTGCCCAGAGGGACCCTCGTTTGCACCAGGGTGGGTAAGGGGTGGAGAGCTTGCAAGCCGTACAATGCATATGCTGCACGCATTTTGGAATGGGTTTATCGTATGGCTGCAGTCTCTGAGCCCTCCCGGCACCATCTCAAGGAGGCCTTCTTGCCCAGCCTCGTGGACGCCTCTCGTCACCGCCAATGGAAGAGCCCCTGGTCGCTCCTCACCTCAGTCCCCGCCTCCACCGCGCTCATCCCGCCTCCCTCCGCTCACTTCTCAACTCACTCCTGCCCTGCCCAGGAGCCTGGTGGCGACCGGAGGACCACGGTGAAGTCGGCCTGGGGCAGGCTGGAGGCGTCCAGGGTGACGCTGGCCTCCAGGCCCAGCGCGCTCAGCGCGCCGCGCAGCAGGGCGCAGGGCAGCACGGCGTGGCTGGTGACGGGAGAGGGCAGGGTGCTGGGCGCAGGGTGCCCGGGGCTGGTGGGGGAGGGCGGGACATCGTCCTGGGTAGGGGTCCTGCTGGGGCCCGCCCCCGGTAGCCAGGGCGGCAGCTGGTTGGGGTGCAGGGCTTCCAGCCAGCTGAACTGCACGTCTCGCAGGACAAAGGTGCCCCTGCATGGAGCCAGAGAACGTCGTGTTGTGGGCGAGACCAAGCCCCGTCGGAGGGGGACGATGGTGCTGCTTTTACTGTATGACAGATTCCAGCGCTGCTCAGGTGACCCGCACCACACGATCAGCCTGGAAATAGGGCCAACTTCCCGACCTGTGATTGGTGCGCAGGTTGTCCACGCCCTTGCCAAAGGCCTCGGTCCACAGCTCCTTGCAGATGAACTTGATGATGTCCAGGGGCTCTGAAATGGGGGACCGGTCCCGGGTGCACCACTCCGCCAGGGCAATGCCCACCCGCAGGCCTATCGCCTCCAGTGCTACCTGAGGGGATTTGGGGCCTCTTGTGCTCGATCTCACACCGACAATTGTTTTCGTGTTTAATCACCGCAGCAGTGCAGCGGTCACCTCACCTCCAGGCAGGGGCCCTGGCGGGCATTTGCATAGTGACTGACGACTTCGATGAGCAGGTAGTCCAAGCAGCTTCGGGAACAGGTCCGTCCCTTGGTGGCCATAGATGCCCGAGATGCCCGATCAGCCCTGGGGTGCGATCACTCCTGGGCAAAAGTATCGAGGGTCGCACCCTCACGTCATCCCTGGCGACAAAATCTTAGCACAATTTCATGCAGAAGTGCTGGTCTAGAGACAACGCAGTCCATGGCTCTGCTGCTTTGTGCTGCAACATCCATGTCGACAGGGTTGGGGAGGGCGCGACACTCGTGCCGGGTCGCGCGCACTGGTTTGCATGTGAACTGCGTAAAGCACGGGCATCGTCTCCAAAGGTACTCGCAAACCTCTACAAAAGGGTTGGAGTCGAACCGTTTGCATTGAGATGATGCTAAGCGCAATGCATCGGCCCCTGCAGCCATGCGCGGTCCGACCCACCGCCGGCCCGTGCTGGGGTGCCCGCCCCTCCCGCCCTGCCCGCCCCATGCCCAGCCCCCTGTACGTCAAACCTGGACCCGTTGAGAACTTTAACGCCCCCTCGTGGCTGGATCTCCCCCTAAAGCACGTGATCGAGAGCCAACAGTTCAACCAGGCCTCCCTGAATACTATCTTCGAGGTGGCTAGGCAAATGGAGGATGTTCGGCCAGGGACCCCCGAATCCCGCGCGCTGGACGGCGCCGTGATGTCCACCCTGTTCTATGAGCCCTCCACGCGCACCCGCCTCTCCTTCGAGGCTGCCATGGCGCGCCTGGGCGGCACCGTGCTGTCCACTGAGAGCGCGGGCGAATTCTCCTCCGCCGCCAAGGGCGAGACGCTGGAGGGTGAGATTTTGGTGTGGGAGGATCTTGATTGAGAAGCGGTGATGGAGCTGCATTGGTGCTTCACTTTCCTCCCTGGGGTTGAATTCCCTAGCAGCCTAGAGGGCCGGCCTCCCCTCAGTCTGTTTTAAATTCAGTTTGCATTACTTAGACCCCGCAAACCTAACCACACACTCCTCCCCATCACAGACACCATTCGCACGGTGGAGGGCTACGCAGACTGCATCGTGCTGCGCCACTTTCAGGCAGGCAGCGCCAAGAAGGCGGCCAGCGCGGCCTCCGTGCCCATCCTGAACGCCGGTGACGGGCCGGGGCAGCACCCCACCCAGGCCCTGATCGACGTCTACACCATCCAGCGGGAGATTGGGCGCCTCGAAAACTTCACCGTCGGGCTGGTGGGAGACTTAGGTGGGCAAGTGGAGGACTGGTGGGTGGGGTGTGGCTCAGAGTGACTCGAGTACGAAGATCCCCTACTCAAAACCGAACTGGGGAACCCTGGGATGCCGGCATTCAGGGCGCCAACACGTATAATCATGCCTTTTCTCTGTGCTGCAAACCTCAGTCATGTGAGCGAGGGCATAAGCCCCCGGGTTGAGGACTGCTGCGCGCCGTGGCGTCGCCCCTATCCCACATCACCCCCTTCTTTTGCCTGTGCAGCCAATGGGCGCACAGTGAGGTCCCTAGCCTATGTCCTGTCCATGTATGAGAATGTGAAGATGTACTTTGTTGCCCCGGATGTGGTGAGTGCAGTGGCGGGAGGAGCTGGGGTGTAGCCTAGGCATGGGTAATGGACATTGCTTGGGATGCGGGTGAGCAAGAGGCCAGAGAAAGCCTCACCCCAGCCAACCCCGCCCCCCTGCCTGTCTCCAGGTCCGCATGAAGGACGACATCAAGGAGTACCTCACCGGTGTGGGCGTGCAGTGGGAGGAGGTCGATGACCTGTCAGTGAGTCGTGCAGTTGTGCCTCTCTCTGGGATCTGGAGAGCCGTTGTGCATGTGGGTACAGCGGAGGCAGCCCAGGGCACCAGTGGAGCATGGGCGTCTGCAGGCTGTCATGCGACACCTGGTTGCTCACCAAGAACGCCAGATCCCAAGTACCTCATTTCCCCAATGCCCCACGCGCACAATCCCTGCTCGATCAGGCGGTGGCTGCCGAGGTGGACGTGCTGTACCAGACCCGGATCCAGAAGGAGCGGTTCCAGGACCGGCCCGACGACTACGAGCTGGCAAAGGGCAGGTACATCGTGGACGCCAAGCTCATGGCCCTGATGAAGCAGAAGTCAGTGGTCATGCACCCACTCCCGCGGGTCGACGAGGTAGGCGTGTCCATGAGGTCGAGATGCGGCCCTGGGGGGGGGTTGAGAGTGTCGATGCGGGGCCTGGCGCCCAGTGCCCCCTCCAAGGACGGGCCCATCGGAGGTGCCACCTGCAGCGCACCCATCCCTCCAATTACATCCACACCCGGACAGATCTCCCCCGAGGTGGACTCTGACCCGCGCGCCGGGTACTTCCGCCAGGCAAAGAACGGGCTGTTTGTGAGGATGGCCCTGCTCAAGCTGTGCTTGCAGGATCGCCTCCGATAGAGGGCAGCACACAGCCAGCCCTGCAATATCGATGTTAAATGTTCTTGCCCGTGTGTGTGCATGGTACAGTGTTGCATGCTTGATCCTCTGATGTTGAGAGTGAGAGCCAAGTGAGCCGTGTAAAGCACAGTCTGATCGCTTTTTTGAAAGACCTTGCACATGCCGTGGTGCTGTGCATGCTTCACACGGGCGACCACGTCCGCGAGGAGGGGAGTTGTGCAGCGATCAACGAGGCCTTTGCACCCCGACAAACATATGCAACGCATTTCACAGACCTCGATGGCGAAATTGGTCGTCTGCTTAGGCTTGACCGCCGTGTTGTGTTGCGGGGTCGTGTCGGGGGTGAGTCTGGCCCTGGAGCACAGTTTGGATGGGAAAACCTTCACGCCGGGTGGGCATATCGTCTTCGAGGACCATGTTCTGGTGAGGCGGCTGGGCTGGGTACCTGTCCTCTCGCTTTGCGGGCGGCGATCATGCACGGCTCAACGCTGGAATCGTAGTCACCCTGTTCCCAACTCCGTCTCCACACAGGCAGGCCAGGGAGGGCAGGGCGTCCTCATCCGCTCTGGCGCAGCCCCAGGCGGCGACCTGGGTGCGTCCCGTTTCTATTCGGTCCGCATGCCTGTAGGAAAGGATGCTTCGGGAGCGATCCTCCTGGCCTCCTTGCCCTCGGCCTGCTGGGCCGCACAGGGGTTTGCCACGCCCCTCACCCTCAGCCTGCACAGCGACGGACAGCCAGCTGGTCTCTCCATCGACCTGGCCTGCTCCGATGGAGCCCCAGATGCCACCGGGCTGCGATTAGGCACGCCGGCGCTTGCCAGCCTACCCAGCGAGCAAATTGTGCAGGTGCAGTTCCCCATCAAGGCTGCGGAGGTGAAGCAACAGGCCCCACCCCAAACCCCCGAGCAGAAGAAGGCTGGTGAGTGAGAAAGCCGGCTCGTGTGGAATTGCATGGGGTGGGCGCAGGCATGAGGACAGGTGGTGGTGGATGAGTATGTCCCACGGCATGAAGTTTTGTCGTGGAGGCCAACATAATAATGCTCTGTCGGCAGGAAGCCTTTCAACCCCTCGAAAAGTTCATACCTGTGGATCCCTACCCTGAAGCTTCTTTTATAACCCAACTTGCCGAGGTGTGCCTTATGGAGACCCCGGGTCTCCTCGCGGATCCCCCACCCCATATTCCTGCCCTCATGACCATGCAGAAGCAGCAGCTGCGGCAGCCGCGGTCGACCAGGACGAGGAGCTCACCCCCGCTGCCCGAGCAGCGCTGAAAAGAAAGCTGGAGGACGAGAACAAGACGTGGTTGCAAAAGAACTGGATGATGCTCATCCCCGCAGCCCTCATGGTGAGTAAGGGGCGTTCTGCCGGCTGAGGTTTGGCCAAGGTGTGGGTGGCTCGTGTCAGACTGAGCATGGAGGGGCGATGGGTCGAGGTGAGTGTTTGCGATCCCTTGTAGTACCATTGAATTGCTTTTGAACTGTTGGTTTGTCCCGTGTGATCATTTGGGACATCCGGTGTGGGATGGCCCGGAATCTGGCCCATGGAGTGGCCTCGACCCCGTGCATGAAGGGCTGGCCGCATGACGTGGGACCCCGAGCCTTTCTACAAGGAGTGTAGACTGACCGGGGACTGCCGGGCCCTGGCAGCAGCAAGAGGGCCCATGGACGCTTGCAATGTGTACAAGAACACATTATATCTCCCTCCCACTTGATCCAGCTGCTCAATCGGATGGGCAACACAGGCGGGACACCCGCCCCAACTGGTCAACGTGGCGGGAATGCACCAGCGCGGTAGCCAGCAGCATGTGCCTCAGCGGATCATACCCTGTCTGTCTGCACCAGAACATTCTGTGATGCGAAGCAATTAGTCATGAGGGATTGGGCATGGGATCCGGACCGCTGGACCATGGATGTCGGACAGTACCCTGCCGGTCCTGGCTCTCGGAGCTGCGGCGGGGGCGCTGATGTGATTCCAGTCCGACAGACGGACCGCTGCTTCGAGCGCCCATTATAAAACCCATGCAATCTGTACAGCGCATCCAAACAATCATCCACAACAATCATTTTATCACTGAACAGGGGCCGCCACACCAAGCATTACATTACAAGCTCACACCATGGCCCCCAGCAAACCCACCCAGTGGGCGAATGCCCTTTTTGTACTGGCCGCCCTTGCCACCCTCACAGCACTGCCCACCACGGCCGCCCGCGCCCTGCTCGCTGACCAGGTAAGCAATTATAATGTGGATTGTGGCCATGACAGCCTGTTTCATGGGTGCTGCGAGCTTGCTCGAGCCCTGGTCGAGGTGGGCATGGCGGGGCGCGTGCACCTCGGCCGCACGCCCCCGCTCAGACAGACTGACAATGTGCTGACCCTAACCCCCTCCCTGCTCTCATCCAGGCGACAGCCCCAACCAGCGAAGACTCACTTGTCTCAAGGTTCGACGGTGTGGACTTCCTGGACCCCCTCCAGCTCGCCGACAAGGTCCCCCAGATCGGGAGCGACTCCTTCCATGGGGACGGCACCGCCTTCTCCGACGCTGTCAACAACACGGGGGCCGCCTTCGCCTGCAGCTTCCGCTACCTGAACAACTGGGCCAGCCAGTACTTTGTGGCCATGAACGAGGAACAGGTCAGCATTGGCCTTGGGGGAGGGGGGGGGGGTTTAGACATGTACTGGCTCGGGGCCCTCACCAGTCTGTCTGGTGTCATGTGTGTTTGGGCTTGTCCATGAAGGCTGCCCATTGTTCGTACCAGCCAACTGCAGCATCATCGGTGCATGCATACTCCGTGTGTGTCATGTGCTGTTGCTGTGTGTCACCTGAATCGCCTCGCCTTGCGAGACTTGTGTGCTCCGGCAATCCCCCTGCACCTCAGTCGGGCTAACCTTCTCCATCTCCCCACTCTTCCCCCCATTCACAGTGGAATGATGGCCTGGTCTGCGGCTCCTGCGTTCGCGCCCGCTGCGTCGACCCCAAGTGCCCCGTCCAGAACGTCGACATCGTGGCCATGGTGGTGGACCGGTGCCCCGAGTGCTCCTACGGCGACCTGGACTTCTCCTACCCTGCCTACTCCGCGGTCACCGGCTCCTGGCCCAACCGCCTGAAGGTGTCCTGGGAGAAGGTGGACTGCTCCGCCTTCATCGACGGCACCATCCGCATGTGGCCCAAGGACGGCGTCAACCCCTTCTGGCAGGCCTTCTACTTTGCCAACTCCAAGTACCAGATCCAGAACGTCACCCTCGACGGCGTGCCCCTCACCCGCCAGACCTTTGGCTTCTGGATCCACCCGGGCACCGCCCCCACCGGGCCCTCCTCCCTCGTCTTCACCGCGGTGAACGGGGCCACCGTCAATGCCACGCTCAACAGCGTGTGGGATGCCCAGGACCTGGACGTCCAGTTCCCAGAGGTAACCGACGCCGCCCCCGTGGCCACGGCGGGCCGCCGGTGAGCAGGGAATCAGCGAGGCGCCCTCGACCTGCTTGGAAGCCTCCCTATGCCGCCACTATCAGGGGCTGGAGGGGCATGGCCCCTCCACGCAACACTCGACCCCGGTGTGTGGGCCCTGTCCATAACGACGGCAGCCCTGACTGACCGGCTTGACCGACGCAGCTGCTGCACGCCCTAACCAACCATTCTTGTGCTCCTCTCACCATACTCGTGTGCCGCAAGCGCAGCACACTTGCGCCCTCACCCCCTCGCTGCTGCACCCTGTCACAGCATTTGACCTGCTCCCCTTCTCCCACGACCCTGGCTCGAACTTCAGTGACGCGCTTATTACTCCCCATCCCCTTGGCTGAAACCTGATAGGTGCTGTGGCGCACCCTGCTGAAAGATGCAGGTCCCGCCCCCGCTTCCCCATTTTCTCGCTCTAGAGCATGCTGTAAGCTTAATTTATGACATGCGCACCGTCGGTTGGGGGAACATACCCAGCGTGGGAGGGTGGTGGGTGAGGTGTCTATCATGGCTGGGGTATGTGCGAAGCGATTGGAGGGCTTGGACCGCAAACTTTGTGCTTTTGGTATGGGAACGGGCTGTGCCGCCAGGGAGTGCAGACGGGCATGACGTTCTCGGGGCAGTAATGACCATTGTGCTCTCACTTGGCATGCAATTCAGAGCCACTCCCAGGTCTTCCTGCCTTGGTAGACGGCGCTGGCAATAGCCGCCACGCTCATCACCCCAGCGGGCATTGCTTTGCGGGTGCGCAGGTAGCGTGGGCCCATGGCCCCGAGGAGGACCAAGGAGGCGGCCAGAGACACTTGGTGCCCGCGGTCTGACCGGCCAATCTGTACAGCGGGGTAAAGGGCCACGGGTGACGATGTGCAGACTTGTTGGGGAGTGCCCCCATGGCCACGCTGGAGAATGGGGATCTGAGTCCCTGCCACATGTCCAGGGTCTTGTACACCGAGATCAATGGCCGAACCCCGCCGAACCCATTCACCGCGCCTGAATGAGGTACCCGCCGTATGCAAAGAGCCCTCCTATGGCCACTCCCGCAACGAGGCTGGGCGTGGAAGCTGTGCGAGCGAACCCCATGGCACCCCCCAAGGCCGTGAGGCCAGCCATGGTGTAGGACAGGTGGGAGCTCCCCGTGGGTCGCTCCATTGCGATTTGCATCCAATGAAAAGCGCTCGTATCAATGCTGAATGCCAGGGTCCGCTCTCGTGTCGAAAGCCTGTAGTGCATTCGTAATGGATGCTCCGTCCCTCGCACGCGTAGCAGCCCTGACATCCCGGGGGAGAGACTCGTAGTTTGCAGAGGTTCATGGATGTCATGATCTCTCCTGTGTCCTTCATTCTGGGATGAACCTGAACTCCTGGATATGCAGACCATGAATGCAACCTGTATCCGTCCGTTCACAGCAGTGACCCCCCGGCGAGGAACCCACACCCCACGCCTTCATGTGTCTCGAAGAGTGAGTCACGGCCTCCCTTCGCGGGATGCCTGGTAAACAGTCATGCTACAAATCTAGGAATGAAAGTGTCAATGCCACGCATGCCTGAGCGCTCCTGCAGATTGCCATCCCTGATCGGAAGGCTTGCACCTCCCTGTTGCAGGCACGAGGGACTGCGCCAAAGGCATCGGGCACCTCCACCACCCTGCCGCCCGCCCTGGAGTCTATAGTCCAGTCCTTTCAAGCTGTACCAGACCCCATGTCGGTGCGTGATGGTCATCTTCACGCGCGCCCCGCACCGAATGGTGGAAACCATGATCGATGTTCTCCAGAGCCCATGACTCCCCCACTCCTGTACTCCCCCGCAGCAGCCCATGTAATGGCCCCACCCCTCACCACCCCTTGCCACCCCTTGCTCCACAGCGATACAAGCAGCTCCTGCACTTTGCGTCGAGGCTGGACCCGTTGCCCGCCGAGTTCCACACCCCGGAGCACAAGGTGGAGGGCTGCGTGTCGCAGGTGTGGGTGGCCGCCCAGCTCGACCGCGCGGCCAACACGCTCTCCTGGCGCGCGGACTCCGACTCCCAGCTGACCAAGGTCGGGCCTGCGTGCTGGGGGAGGGGGTGATGGTCCTTGCCAGCGCTGTCGCGGCGCTCGGATCGTGATGTGGGTGCCTGCGGAGGCCTCCGATGCTGTCGATGCGGCACTCTGGACGGCTCGATGCCCCCTCCTCCCGCTGCCTGCCCGCCCACGACCTCCCCCCTGCCGCCCCCGCACCCCGATCTTGCAGGGCCTGGCAGCGCTGCTGGTGGTGGGCCTGAGCGGGTTGAGCCCGCAGGAGACGGTCCAGATCTCGCCCGACTTCATCACCTCCCTGGGCTTCCAGCAGGCCCTCACGCCCTCCCGCAACAACGGCTTCCTCAACATGTTCCGGCTCATGCAGCGAAAGGCGCTGGACCTGTGCCTGCTGCAGGGAGGCAAGGCAGGGGCCTCGCCCGGCCACGGCCCTGGCGCGGCTACCACCGGCGCAGCAGCCGGGGAGGAGGCCGCCGGACCTGGCCGGCCCAGGGGCGGGGGGGAGGCTGCACCCCAGCCTGGGGATGCAGCTGCGGAGCCATCGGCCTCAGAGCAGCAGCACATGGGCCCCGTGGCGGCAAGCATGCGCAGGAAGCTGCAGGACGCCTTCCAGCCTCTGAGGTGGGGAGGCGACGTTCAGGAGGGCTGAGAACGGCGTTCTCGTCGTCATCGGCAGGCTGTTTGCCTTGGAAGTTTATGTCTTGATGTTGGATCGAATCCACCAGCCCCCACCACCAGGCCGCACCCTCTCCACGCAGGCTGGAGCTCGTGGATGAGTCGGGGAAGCACGCACACCATGCCGGTGTCAGGAGCATGGGCAAGGCGGGCCAGAAGGGCGAGACCCACTTCGCACTCAGCATTGTGTCGCCGCGGTTCCAGGGCCTGTCCACCCTGAAACGGCACCGGCTCGTGTATGCGTCTCTGGCGGAGGAGCTGGCGGGGTCGGTGCATGCGCTGCAGATGAACACGCAGACGCCGGAGGAGGCGGGGGTGGTGTGAGGGCCCTGTGCATCGCTTATTTGGCTGGTTGGGTGGCATAGAATGTTGGAAACGTCAGTGCCCGGATACAGTGTGACCCGGTATGGGGTACCGAGTGGACAACCCTTCAGTTGAAAGGGTGAATGCTGCATCCGGAAGTTCCGGGGGCGCGGTTTACAGAGCCCCACAGGGCGACGAGGTAGTGCAGAGCTGGCAAAAGTCCTTTCCACAGGTTCGGGACGAGAAATAGTTTGTGTTCAGCCTCACAATTCACGCGTCACACAGGGCAAACCCGCCGACTCGCACGGGTAGAGGCCCCTCCCGTGCAGGGAGTCACCCCGTCGTGTGGCCAGCCCCATGTCGGTCGCTCTACGTTGCGCGGGGTCCCGGGCCGCCGGCCTGAAGTCTGTCGCCAGGCCAACGAGTCCTGCAGGTGCGCCGCGCCCGCGTGCATGGCGTGAGGTCACGGCGTGCACCCAGGAGCCTGGAGCCTGACACGTCGGGTCTGATCAGAACCCTTGCTCCCCAGCCACCCCACCACTCATCCCATGTTCCCAGGCCACACAGCCCCTGCCTTCAGGGCACCTGTCATCACCTCCCAACCCACCGCCCGGGGCCTGGCCCGGCACTGGCGCTGCCACTCCAGCAAGCCGGCCGACACCGTCTACTCGGGCCCCGTGGCGCCCTCCCCCAGCCGCGTCACGCTGCGCACGCTGCGGCGCATGCACGCCCGGGGCGATCCCTTCACCATGGTCACCGCCTACGACTACCCCTCAGCCGTGCACGTGCGTTGGGTCGGTGGGGGGTCCCAGGCGTGCTGTCAGCTGCCCGGGGTGGGGATGTGTACCTGTGCCGCCTGGAACCAGGCCCGACGAGGTTCCCCCCCCATGACCCCCTCCTCCCCTCCCTTCCCTTCCCGACCGCCGTGCAGGTGGAGCTGTCCGGCATCGAGATGCTGCTGGTGGGCGACTCGGCGGCCATGGTGGTGCACGGGCACGACACCACGCTGCCCATCACGCTGGAGGAGATGCTGACGCACTGCCGCGCGGTGTCGCGCGGCGCGCGCCGCCCCTTCATCGTCGCCGACCTCCCCTTCGGCTCCTTCGAGGAGGGGCCGACGGCGGCTGTGCGCGCCGCGGTGCGCATGCTCAAGGAGGGCGGCGCGGACGCCGTCAAGATCGAGGGTGCGTCGCGTGGGCTGCGGGTGTGATGCTCAGTGGTGGTGGTGGTGGAAGGGGGGAAGGCAGGGCGCGGTCAAAGGCAGGGGCCGGGTGTCAGGCAGTGGACGTGCGCAGGGGTGCTCAGCCGGCGCTCGGGTGGATGTGATGTTGATGCAGAGCACACCGTGGCACCGCATGACGTCGGCAGCCCCACCTGGCGCGCGCACCGATCCCCCCCACCCCACCCCGCCGCCCTTCCCTCGCCAGGCGGCGCGCCCGCCAGGGTGGAGACCATCCGCGCCGTGGTGGGCGCCGGCATCGCGGTGATCGGGCATGTGGGCCTGACCCCGCAGTCGGTCTCGCTGCTGGGCGGGTTTCGGCCCGCGGGCCTCCACGCCGACGACGCCGCGCGCGTCGTCGCCGAGGCCAAGGTGCGGGGGGATGGTGTGTTTGTGGGGGGTGACTCCTGGCGGTGGTCAGGTGTCCAACTGCAGGGAACCGCGGCCACGGCGGCGCCACCCCGGGCCTTGCTGCCGCACCCCTCTCCAGGCGGGACGTTGACGCCCAGCGCTGAACCAGGGACGGCCCCGCTGGCTGACCCAGTCATCTCCTGCTCCCCCCCTCCCCCTCTCATCCGCGCAGGCTTTGGAAGAGGCGGGGTGTGTGATGGTGGTGGTGGAGTGCGTGCCGGAGCTGGTGGGCGCGGCCATCACGCAGCAGCTCTCCATCCCCACCATCGGCATCGGGGCGGGGGTGCACACCAGCGGGCAGGTGAGGCGGAGAACAGGGGGGGCTTCATTCCTCGTGGATCCCAACATCCTCATGCCGCCACATCCTGAAACCAGCGCCCACTCCCCGCCCCCCATGAACTCATCGCACAGGTGTTGGTCTACCACGACCTGTTGGGCATGATGCAGCACCCGCACCACGCCAAGGTCACCCCCAAGTTCTGCAAGCAGTATGCGGCGGTGGGGGAGGTGATCCAGGGCGCACTGTCGGCCTTCCAGGCGGAGGTGAGCCAGCGCACCTTCCCTGGGCCGCGCCACTCGCCCTACGCGCTGGGGGCGGGGCAGGAGGAGCGGCTGGGGCAGGCGCTGCGGGGGGCGGGGCTGGACGCCGCGGCCGCGGCCGCGGAGGAGCTCATCGCCAGGCATGGGCTGGCCACGGCGCAGAACGGGGCGTGAGGCGTCGTGAGAGGCGACGTGGGTGGCATGTGAGGCGACGTGGGTGGCGTGGGAGGCGCCCTGGGAGTGTGTTGGTGGGCTCCACCGGGGCCTCCCATGCAACGAGTGAAGTGGCGATGGCTGGGCCCACCATGCATTTTGGCGACAATGGCTCTTCTGGGAGGGGCCAGCCACCCTCTCCCCTGAAACAGGCTGCTGCGCACAACAAATCACGTGTATGCATCCTTGTATTGCTTGCAACGAATCTCCGGCCCAGACGGGGCAGACAAGCAGACTGCGCCCGAGTTCGGTGGTGTGCGAGTGCCGTAACAATCGTCATGGCGGCGGCGGGAATGTGTGGACATGGACAGGGCGGTCTCAGCTCCAAGGACCCATGGCGCAAGGCACGACGTCGGAGCAAAGCTCTTCTATTTCATCTCCTGAACATAAGGGAAGGTAGACTCGGGTCCGGGACGGTCGGTCTCCTTCTCCTTTGACCCACGTGGGTGGCGATTACGATAGGAAGAGGTGACCCCGAAGGGCCGGCTGAGAGCCAGGCGCACGGTGAGCTGCACGTCCACGCAGCCCCGAAATCTGAAGACGTGCACTCCGCCTACCCTTCCCTCTCACACCCACCAGGAGAGAGAATAATCTCTTCACATCCCACACTTGTTTTTCTTCAGAGACACTGTCCTCTTTACCATTGCCGCACACCGTGCCCGTTGAGGCCTCCGAGCGCGTGCGACAGACGAAGTTCAGCTCCAGCTTCGCAGCTCCACCTCCTGTTCTGAAGACCTCCTGTTTTGAATAGTAATCAACATCCCAGCAATCCAAGAGTGCGGCAGCCAGGCCCCAAGCCCCCCTGCGACAGCCCTTTGACAGGCGTCTCGGAAGCGGCCCGCGCCTCCCAGCCACAGAGCTCTCCACCCCCGACGGCATGGTGGACCTCGGACTGGACCAGCCCGACGCACAGCGTTTCCTGTGGGCGGGCAATGGCGAGCCCCATGCCATGCGACGCCGGCTCATACTGGCCAAGTACGGACCGGAAGTTCGCAAGCTCTACGGCTACGACCACGCCACCGCCTGGCAGGTGCACTTGCGTGGCTGGGTCCTCGGGGTGTTGTTATTGTGTGTGATTCCCACCGGACGGGCCTGCATGTCACCCCCCGCCTCGGCAGCTCCCCTCGGCCGGGCGGCCCAACTCAAAAGAGGACGAGAAAGGGGCAGGGTCCTCCCCACCCCCGCCTGCAACGTGCGACTCTCCCTCCACCCTGCCTCACCCCCCCTCCCTCATGACATGTCTTCCCCCCCCCCTTGCCCCACCACCAGGTGATTGGCGTGATGCTGCTCCAGGTGTACATGGCCTGGCTGGTGAAGGACTGGTCCTGGGGCGCGGTGCTGGTGGCCTCCTACTTCATCTCCGGCACCGCCAATCAGAACCTGTTCTCCGCCCAGCATGAGATCAGCCACTTCCTGGCCTTCCGCCGCCCCCTGTACAACAAGATCCTGGCCTTGGCCTCCAACATGGTGCTGGTGGTTCCCGTCGCGGTCAAGTTCCGCGAGTACCACCACGACCACCACCTCTTCCTGGGCATCGACGGCGGGGACGTGGACCTGCCCACCGTGCTGGAGGTGGGCGCGGTGGGCAGCCTGGCCGCCAAGCTGGCCTGGGGCCTGGTCTACCTCTGCATCTACGGCCTGCGCCCGCTGATCGTGCGCCCCAAGCCGCCCTCCGCCGCCGACGCCGTCAACTGGGCCACCACGCTCGGCTTCGACCTGGCCTTGCTCTATTTCTGGGGCCTGAAGCCTGTGGCCTACCTGCTGATCGGGTCGCTGATCGGGGGCAGCCTGCTGCACCCCATGGGCGGGCACCTGCTGGCGGAGCACTACATGTTTGAGAAGGGGCAGGAGACGTACAGCTACTACGGCCCCATGAACGCGCTCACCTACAACGTGGGCTACCACAACGAGCACCACGACTTCCCCCAAATCCCGCACACCCGCCTGCACAAGCTGCGCCGCATCGCGCCCGAGTTCTACGAGCCCATGTACCAGCACCACTCCTGGTGCTGGGTGCTCTGGGCCTTCTTCGCCGACGAGAAGGTGGGGCCCTGGCTCCGCGTGCACCGCCTGAGGAAGGAGGGCGCGGCGCCCACCAACACCCGCTTCTCCGAGTACGGCGGCCTGTACGCCGTCTGGCGGCGGCTGGCCTGCTCCGACCCCGAGCCCTTTGCCCCCGGGGTGGCCGGCGAGGCGGGGCCGGGGGCGCCCGCAGGCACCCCAGCCGCCGAAAAGCCCACGCCCGCGCCCGTGCTCAAGGAGCGGCCGACGGCGGCGCAGCCCGTCCTGGGCGGCCTCGCGGAGAAGCCGGCGCTGACCCGGCGCTCGGCAGCCATGGCCCACGGCCGCAACGGGAGCAGCGAGGAGAACGCGCCGCCCCCCACCTCCCGATAGGCCCTCGGACCCTCCTGTTGCTACCTTTTTGCTCCCCAGTACGTTGACGCAGCGACTCCGGCACCCCCCTTCTCTGCTGTAATCTCCCCACAAAGTCACGTGCACAGCGTGGCACTGGCTTCGAGGAGCAGTGCAGCGCTTGCCCTGACCAAGCCATTCAACCCTCTGGTCAACACCAGATGGCAACGGGGTACAGGTATCACAGGTGCAGCAAAGCAGGGTATCAACTGGAAGGAGACAGTGCGGACTGGCATGCAAAGAGAGATGAGGTGGGGTGCGGTGACCCTGCCGGGACGACAGCACGCCGCTCTCATGGCGGCATGGGAAGTAGTAGACTGCGACGATGTGTGGGGTGTGTGCCTAGGCCGCGCCAAGAAAGGGCGGGCGATGGGAGTATCCTAGGGAATAATGAGCAGGCCATGGGCATGGGCCTGCCGGGGTCGCTGAGCGGACCAGGCAGGCAGGCAGGCCCCTCCATCACTTGGTCCGGGGTGGGGTGGGTCGGGGCAATGAGGACGGGAAGGCAGGCAGGCTCCAAGGATGGGGCATCGCTCAGGCTCAAGTTCCAAGTGTGTCATCTTCAAATAGATAGACTCTCTGTGAAGATCCCAGGGAGGTCGATGGGGAGACGAGGAGAGTGCAGTGTCTGGGGGAGGTCAATGTGTGCAACTGACCCTGTACCATGCGAGAGACAAGGGCGGCGGAGCGGGCTCGGGGGTGCCGCAGGGCGCGCCGGCTTGGGAAGGGCTCGAGAGAGGCAGGGAGCGAGAGGAGAGCACGGTGTCGAGGGGAGGAACAGGCGGGGTTTGGCGGGCTGCCATTCACCCTCGCCCTCGGCTTCTATACCAGCGGACTAGACGTCGATGTGGAAGGCGGCGGGCCAGCGCTGGCCGTCGGAGACGGGCGTGTATGTTTGCCCCGCGCCGGCGTCGGGGCCCATGGATGCCTGGCGCGGCTCGACCTTGGGGTCCAGGCCCTGCCAGGGGCAGTCGCCGTCCGCGCCGGAGCCCGCGACCCGCGGCGGCGGCGCCGGCAGCAGCCCCCGGCGCTGGAGCGCCGCCAGGCTGGCGAAGAGGGCCAGCAGGGCGGAGGCCACCAGCAGGCCGATCATGGCCCAGACCACGGGCGCAAACATGGCGGACCCTGCGTAGTCTGTGGACCACTGCGGCAGGCCGTCGAACTCGATGACCCCCACCTCGCACAGCCAGGCGCCCAGGAAGACGGCGGCCCAGGCGCGGGCCAGGCCCAGCGCCGGGGATGAGGGGCGCGCTAGCTCGGCCAGGAGCGCGGCGGTGACCAGGAGCATGGAGTAGAAGAGGAGGAGGTGGACGGCGGCGTCCAGCGGCTCGTGCTTGCGGTGGGAGCCCATGATGAAGGACATGACGCCGAAGGCCAGCGCCAGCACGCTCTGGGGTGGGGGGGAGGGAGGGGGAGGCACGGCTTTCAAGCATCGCCTGATTGAACAGGAGGATTTGGCATGGCTCCCCGACACTGTACCCTGTGCCCCTTGAGAATTCGTCCGGATGAGCTTCACAGGCTTGCCCACTCTATACATACAAAACATGGCCTCCAGAAGCCCCCTACCTGTCCGGTGCCAGGCGGGAGGGGGACGCCCAGCAGGCACAGCACGTCTGTCACCCCAGAGACGAGGAAGGCGGGGTAGATGGAGGTGTGCTGCCAGTTGTTCATGTGGGTGACGGCGTACCGGCCAGCATACTGGGTGCCCTTGGGGCAGTACAGATACCTGCAGGTTTGGAATGGTGGAGGGGCTTGAAAGAGTGGGAGAAGGGTGGGGTGAGAATGGGGTGACAAAGGAGGATGGGATCCATCCTTGTTCAAGCAGCGCGATCCTGTGCACGGCACAGTAGATATGGGGCCGGCAACCATGCCCTAAACCCCAGGATATCCACCTGAGACGCAAGCATACACTCCCACGCATGGCTGGTATGGCCCGGGCACACTGGCACGCCCGTCCACCCACCTGAAGGCGGTGTGATCAAAGTAGAGCTCCACAGACACGGCCAGGGGTGGCAATATGATCTTCAGCAGGGGTTCCATCCAGTAGAAGCGCTTCAGGCCCATCCTGAACCAAGGCTGCGCCGCGTAGGGCCGGGAATGATTGGCCTTCAGCACTGCCAGGCAGACGTTGTACGCCCACCAGGCCCCCCACATGACAAACACCGAGCCAGGCAGGATGTGGCCTGCACGGGGTGGCAGGAAGGAGAGGCTCTCAGTGGTCTTGGCATGCGCCCGATGGTCGTGGAAGGGTTTGCAGAGAGGGTCAGGCCCGAGCCAGGCGCGTGCAGCGTGGATGGCTTTCGACCGCGCAAATCACACTAAGATCACGGGGTCATCCTGGCGCCCGCCCCCTTTCGAAATCGGAAGGGCCCATGCCGGGGAGCCGCCCGATTCGACACATCACCCGCGCCGAAGACCCCGCCCGGTCTCTCAAAAGGAGGCACAGACACCGCATTGGCATGCCAGCCGCGCCCCGAGAGCCCCAGCCCGAGAAGTTACCGTCCAACGCCTGGCCTGCTCACCTTGCCAGCTTCCCTTCCTGGAGATGTCCAGAGAGCCATCGCACTCGGTGTGCATGGTCATAGTGGCGTTACCAGCTTCCAGGCCGCCGCCCATGGCGTGCATGTCCATCGCGACGACGGGGCGCCTCACAGGCTGGTTAAAGGTTAAACACGATGCCGAGCCCAAATGCGTTCTGCCCGATTGGAGATGCGAGGAAAAGGCGGGTTCCACGCAGAATAAATAAACAGAATTATATCAATCTGTGCCGTCGCGACGTGCAGTTCGAGCTCTGGTGATGAAATCATCCCACCAACAATCACATAATCCCTCGGGTCGGGACCCCACGCCCGTGCGACTCCGGGTCGAATCCGAGACTTAAGGAAGCGTCCTGCAGCTACACACAAAGTTCTTCGACGACGTCGCCCGAATTATGTCGAGAATAAATGTGTGATATCCAGTGGCTTCCACATGAAAGGGACTGCCATCCTCGCCGCGCACAGTTGTCGGAAGCCTCCTGCCGGTTTCCCACTGGTCGGGTTAGTAGCACAGGCTCCCCGCAGAAACGTGATGAAAGTCGTTGAATGTCACCAATTCTTAAAACTTGAACACTGTATGAACATGCTTAACCCTCCCCAGGGACCATTCATGATTTGAATAACCTCAGACAACGCTCCCGAGTTGACCCAATCGATCCAGAGTACACTGCCAGCTGAAGGCATCCAACAGGACATCCACCACAGCCTGCTCCACTCACAGTGACGACAAGACATGGATTGCAAATAGTGCTTGCTCGCAGAAATGCCTACTCAACAGGGCAGGAGCAGTCGAGAGCCATACATGACCATCCCCAATAGCAAATGTTCAGGTAAACCGACGAGTTCACGATAATTTACGCTTGAACCCGCTGTGCTCTCAGTCTGGTTATTCCGAGCATTGCGAGCGATGGCTACAGCTTCCAAGTGTAGGTCTCCATGGATGAGAGGGGCTCGTAGGACGCCTTGTTGCCATTGCCCTCATGCTCATTTCAGAGCGCGCTGCCCTCATGCCTCGCCCGCGCTGAGAACTGATTTTTATATGTGAATAGGCGCAATGTATGTAAAGGTGGTCTGCACACTTCCAAAACAACTCTGAAGTGTAGCGGCCTCTTCTCACACGGCTCCCCACAGATCATGCACGTCAGGCATGAGCGCACGGGGTTCTAATGCGAGGCCCCAAGTGACCAGACCGAGCATCTACGCATTGTGAGCTCCTCCGACTCTCGCACTCATCACCTTCCTTGCAAGTGACTGCTCCAGGGAGGTCTTGCCTGCAGTCTGGGTGTGTCGTTGGGGCCTCATGGCAGCCCTCACGACCCCCTTCCTGGCTCCCACAGCCTGCCACGCCCAGTCTCCATTCACTCATAGAAAAAGCGCAGCTGTAGGTAGTTCTAGGCTATGCTTCACGGTGTGCCGAGCGGCTCTGCAGCCCAGCCTGAGGAGCACGGAGACCCTGCGGCCAGTGCGGGGCGAGGTGGCCGCGAGTGCCCCTGCCACCGTGGCAAACCTCGGCCCAGGCTTTGACTGGCTGGGGTGTGCGGTGGAGGTGCGTTTTGTTGTGGAGGAGGGTGCGCCGCTCGGTGGGTGATGAAAGACGTCCTGGAGTGGGTCCCGGCCAGATCATGCCCATCAGCGCTCTGCGCTGCCTGCATTCTGGTCCAAGGCTCCACAGGGAGACCTGAGAGCAGCCCCATCCAGGATCAGGTGCAAGCCCTCCAGCTCCACCTTTCCAACACCCCTTCCAGGGCCCGGGGGACACGGTGGTGGCGGTGGCCCTGCCCACCGCCCGCCCCGGCGAGATCGTGATCCAGCGCGTGACGGGAGAGGGCGGGCGCCTGTCGCTCGACCCCGTGAAGAACTGCGCGGGCATCGCGGCGGCTGCTACGCTGCGCGCCATGGGCGCGCCGCTCGCCTGTGGCGTCGGCCTGACCCTGCACAAGGGCCTCCCCCTGGGCAGCGGCCTCGGCTCCAGCGCCGCCTCGGCCGCCGCGGCTGCGGTGGCGGTGAACGAGCTGTTTGGCGCCCCCCTGAGCCCCATGGACCTGGTCCTGCCGGGGCTGGAGTCGGAGGCCGCGGTATCAGGCTACCACGCCGACAACATTGCCCCGGCCCTCCTCGGCGGCTTCGTCCTCATCAGGTGGGGGAGCAGGTGTCGGGTGTTGGGTGGGTGGATCGTTTCAGTGGTGGGTGGATGGGAAGCAAGAAGCCCAAGCCTGGCGCGGGTTTGTTGCTGCAGGCGCCAGCCTGGAGCTCCACAGTGTTGAAGCTGTGGCCAGCTGGATCCCTGAGGCCGCTGTCACATGCCGACAGGGCAGGCATCTGACGCGAGACTCCCTGTCGTCCCCCCTCTCTGCTGCCTCACCCCCTCCCCCTGTCCCCTCCTTCCTCTCTGCAACAGGAGCTGTGAGCCGCTGGACCTGCAGCGCCTCGCCTTCCCGGCGGCGATGTATGGTTCGCGCTGGTCAACCCCTGCTTCGAGGCCCCCACCGCCGAGATGCGGGCCGCGCTGCGCAGCGAGGTGCCCATGGCGGAGCTGACGCGCAATTGCGCGGCGGGCGCCAGCCTGGTGGCCGGCATCCTGCTGGGCGATGCCGGCCTGCTCGGCCGCAGCCTGGACGCCGACGTGGTGGTCGAGCCCGTGCGTGGGCCTTTGATCCCGGGATTTGCGGCGGTGAAGGCGGCGGCGCGGGGCGCCGGCGCCTACGGCTGCACCATCAGTGGCGCAGGACCGACCGCCGTGGCGGTGGTGCCGGACCCGGACACGGGGGCGCGCGTGGCGGAGGCCATGTCCGCCGCCTTCAAGCGCGCGGGGAACCTGGACACCAACTCCGCCCAGGTGGTGCGCCTGAACCAGCAGGGCGCGCGCAAGGTCTGACAGGGCGAGTTTGTGGAGGCTGTGTGGGAAGCGAGGGCTGCGACGGGTGCCGGCCGGATGGAGAGAGGTCCCAGGTGCCGCGCGGCCTGCCTGGACCATGTCGAGCCCCATGCAGCGTGACTGCCGCCCTCCTCCATCACTCGGGAGTGCGTCGACGAGACACATGCCGCGACTGCGGCCACAAACACCCCTCGCGCCAGACGTCGTGTAAAAACAGAAGATTCCACAGACACTTGCATTGCGGCAGAGGTCAGAGGGCGCGCGTGGCAGGTCGCCACACATGAGTCACGTGTTCCACCCATCAGTGAGCTGCAGCATCTCAGAACTCGGGCGCCACGAGGTCCAACCCCTGCAGCTTGACGGCGGCCGCGCTTTCTGCACGGTCCTGGCGCAGCATGGCCGCCACGTAGAACTCGCCCGCGCGGTACGAGGACCGCACCAGCGGCCCGGAGGCAACGTACCGGAACCCGACCTCCTCCTTGCCAAATTTCCGCCTGCAGATGTGTTTGCGTTGGGAGTGGGTGGGTGGTGTGCATGTGTGGTGGGGTGCAGGGCTGAACAACCATGATGAGTCAAAGCCAAGGCAATGGATAGCCGTCAAGACCATCAGACAACCTCCTTCCAAGTCTCAAAGATCAGCAAGCATGGCCGGCCTGGGGACACTACAACGACCAGCTACGCCGCTCAGCGTTCCTTCTCCCCCCCCTGTCCACACAACCCACCCACCAGTACTCGAACTTCTCGGGCGTGACAAATTCGCGCACCGCCAGGTGCTGCGGCGTGGGCTGCAGGTACTGCCCCAGGGTCAAAATGTCCACACCCGCGTCCCTCAGGTCCAGCATGGTGTCCACGACCTCCTCGTCCGCCTCCCCCAGGCCCAGCATGATGGAGGATTTGGTGTGCACGCCCTCCCTTCTCGCAGCCCGCAGCACGTCCAGGGACTGGAAGTAGCCGGCGCGCGGATCTCGCACGCGCCGCTGCAGCGAGGCCACCGTCTCGATGTTGTGCGCAAAGACGTCCAGCCCCGAGCGTGCCAGGTGGCGCACGGCGCCGAGGTCGCCCCTGGGGAGGGAGGGTGGTGACGTGCCTCTCAGCACGGCGCCGACGAGGCACAGGGCAGCTCCTCCACAGGCCACCCCCCCTGGCCCATCAGGCCCGAGCGCAATGCCCCCCCGCACCCCCCATCCCCTCTCCACTCGCACACCGGAAGTCTGGGGTGAGGCACTCGACCAGGATGTCGGGGCGGAGGGCCTTGATGCTGCGCACGGTCTGCGCAAAGTGGTCGGCGCCGCCGTCGGGCAAGTCGTCGCGGTCCACCGAGGTCAGCACGATGTAGCCCACGCCCCAGCTGGCGACGGCTCGGGCGGTGTCCTCCGGCTCGCGAGGGTTGGGCGGCGGCGGCGCGCGCGAGGTGGCCACCGCACAGAAGCGGCAGCCGCGGGTGCAGGTGTCGCCCAGCACCATGATGGTGGCGGTGCCCAGCTCGCCCTCGCCCCCGCCCCAGCACTCGCCGATGTTGGGGCACTGGGCCTCCTGGCACACCGTGGCCAGCTTCAGGCCGGACAGCTGCTCCGCCAGGTACTCATACCGCTCGCCCTGGGGCGCCTTCTGGCGCAGCCAGGGGGCCTTGGGGGGAAGGGTGCGGAAGGGGGCCTTGGGTGCCTGGTTTTTTGCTGGTGGGGCCAGGGAGGGGTCGCGGGCCACGGCCAGGGCCACCAGCTCGTCGAAGGCGGATGCTGGGGCGGCAGTGCTATCTGACGCATGGGCGCGGCTGCAGGGCGAGCGCCGTGGCCGGGCGCTGGAGGCGGTGAAGGGCCGGGCTGGAAAGTGGGCAGCTGGCGCCACCAGCGTCGACATGCCTGCGAGTTTGAGGCCTTGGTGGCTTTGGGAGGCGGTTTATCCCCAGCACAAGACCGAATCTGTGTTCAATCCAGTGCAGGAGGGTAGCGTGCGCCCTGGAGGATGCAGGGCCAGATTTATCAGCCCAAGCAGGGAGCCCAGCGGGGAGTGCCTGTCTGGAACTCAGTGCCGCGATCGGGGGGTCAAACTTCCTGATCAGCCCAGTATATGAATGTTAGCTCGATAACGATACTTCCTCGCGTGGGCGAGCACTAGTACGAGCTGTAACACTGCCAGATTGGAGGAAACTGGAGGGCCCGATGCAGGATTGGGCGCGCACAACCCCATGCAGCAGAGCACGACGCACATGAAGATATTAGCGGGGCATTTCGGGGGTGAACCTGCCCGGGTCCCGCCCGCACAACAAGCTCCGGCTCGAGGCGTGATCACCCTCTGTTTCAATCCTACCCGTGATCATCGGGTTGAAAGGCTGCAACGTCGCAGGCACCGTCGGCCTGCAGAGGACCATGTACCGGTCAGCTGGAGCCCTGGGGCCCTCCACCTCTGCCCCCAGCCTGCCCGCGCGGGCGTCTGTACCATCTGCACGACAGTGCGCACGCCGTGCATCGGTATGCACCCGTGCATCCGCCTCCACCGCTCCAGGAGACATCCGCTCCAACGCCGTCCTGAGGGGTGAGTGCGTCCCTGCGGGCCAACCATGCGCGTTATAGGGCCTGTACAACGCCTGATGCTAGAGCTCAGGAACCCCATGTCCTAATTCGCTCCCCATGCAGCTCGCGCGGAGGGCACGTTCCGCGCAGAGTACGTCCCCTTTGCCGACATCGCCTCGGGCACCGTGGGCAAGGAGACCTACTCTTTGGATGACGTGGTCTACCGCGCCATGGACGGGGGCCTGCTAGACGTCAAGCACGACTTCGAGGCCCTGGCCAAGTACGATGCCAAGTACTGGAAGACCCTGTTTGACGGGCGGGTGGGCACCGCCAGGTGGCCCCACGGCTCCGGCGTCTGGTCCAAGAAGGAGTGGGTACTGCCGGTGCGTGTTGGGTTGCGGTTGGTGTTGTTCATGGGGCTGAGGGTGGGTAGGATGCGAATCGGAAGTCCCTTGGGAGGAAAAAGGTGCATAATAGCGGGGTGGGGCGAGGTCAGCTGTGCAGCTGATTGGTCCTTGCCAATGGTGGTGGTGATGATGGAGTCCACCCACCCCTGCCTGCCCTCACCCCAGCCTTGCCATGCATCCCCCCCCTTCCTCCTCACATCACAGCAAATCTCCGACGACGACATCGTCAGCATGTTCGAGGGGAACAGCAACCTGTTCTGGGCGGAGCGCTTCGGCCGCCAGATCGGAATGAGCGACCTGTGGGTGAAGCAGTGCGGCAACTCCCACACCGGCTCCTTCAAGGACCTGGGCATGACGGTGCTGGTGAGCCAGGTGAACCGGCTGTCCAAGCTGCGCCCGGAGTCGGTGCAGGCAGTGGGGTGCGCCAGCACTGGCGACACCTCCGCCGCGCTGTCCGCCTACTGCGCGGCGGCGGGCATCCCCTCCATCGTCTTCCTGCCCGCCGACAAGATCTCGCTGGCCCAGCTGGTGCAGCCCATCGCCAACGGCGCGCTGGTGCTGTCCATCGACACCGACTTTGACGGCTGCATGCGCCTGATCCAGGAGGTCACCGCCGCCAGCCCCATCTACTTGGCCAACTCCATGAACAGCCTGCGGCTGGAGGGGCAGAAAACGGCGGCCATCGAGATCCTGCAGCAGTTTGACTGGGAGGTCCCCGACTGGCTCATCATCCCGGGCGGCAACCTGGGCAACGTCTACGCCTTCTACAAGGGCTTCAAGCTGGCCCGCGACCTGGGCCTCACCGACCGCCTCCCTCGCCTGGTGGTGGCCCAGGCGCGCAACGCCAACCCGCTGTACCGCGCGTACCGCGACGGCTGGGGCACCTTTGCCCCCGTCAAGGCGCAGACCACCTTTGCCAGCGCCATCCAGATTGGGGACCCGGTGTCGGTGCACCGCGCCATCCTGGCGCTGGAGGCCTGCGATGGCATCGTGGAGGAGGCCAGCGAGGAGGAGCTGATGGACGCCGCCGCGCGCGCCGACCTCACCGGCATGTTCAACTGCCCCCACACCGGGGTGGCGCTGGCCGCGCTGCTCAAGCTGCGCGAGCGCGGCGTCATCGCCCCCTCCGACCGCACCGTCGTCGTGTCCACAGCGCACGGCCTCAAGTTCACGCAGTCCAAGACCGCCTACCACGCCGCCGAGATACAGGGGCTGAGCAGCAGGTACGCCAACCCCCCCGTCACGGTGCGGGAGGACCTGGGCTCCGTCATGGACGCCATCCGCACCAAATTTGCCAAGCTGTGAGGCAACCGCCTGTGCTGTGCATGCTGCCTAGGACCCTGTAATGCGCGCGAGCGATCACTTGCTTTCAGGATGCATGCTGAGGGAGTGAGAAAGGTGCAGGTGGTGAGCTGCAGAGGGGTGCCTGGGAGTGGGCAAGGCAGGGCAGCGGCAGGCAGCAGGGCGGGGGCCAAACCTCATGCCGGCGAGGCAGCCCCCACTGGATCAAGATTTCGGCCGCGCCGGCCGGGGCTGGCGCTGTCACTCGGCCGAGGCAGAACCCGTTCCACGTCGCTGTCATTCGCATCTGCGCTGTCAGCAGCTCCCCCCGGCGCAGCCGGGTGGATCGCCGCAATCAGCCCGCCGGACTCCCCCGACCGCGCGGTCGTGGAAACGGGGAGGCCCATGCGCGGGGAGGGTCTGGGGCGGCTCCCCGGGGGCGGCGTGGATCCACTGGGCGCGTCCATGCACAGCACCACAGGCCTCACGGGCCAGCTGTCACCCTGCTCATCGGCCTCCAATGCCGCCACCTTGCCGGCCAGGGCGTCCAGGGGGGCGGAGTTGTGGCCCTGATCTCCAGCCGCCTTACGGGCCGCAAAGGGGTCCTCTGCCGCAGCAGGAGGCCGCTGCGCCCCGTCCTCACTCCCGCTCTCGCCTTGCTCCGTTGCTTCCTCCAGCGACTCGCTGACGTCTAGGGGCACCACCACATTTGCGCTCCCCCGCGCGACCTAGGGGGAAGAGTGGGAAATGCTCGATTGGCATGGGGTGTGATGCACCGATAAGGCACATGTGCGCCTAACGGATCAGATAGAGACAGCAAGTGAGCTGGTCGCTCCATTGATGGTGGAGGCACGAATTGTGCCCTGTAGGTGCCGCTCTGACCAGGAGCACCCTGATCTGCTGAATGCATCTGTGCATCTGCCCAAATCCCAAGCATCCCTCACCCTGACGAGGGCCTCCACCATCTCAGCCTCCTGCTTCCCCAGGCGGGTGGAGCGGGCCCGAGACTTTTGCAGCCGTGCCAGGACGAGCCTGCGGGCCTTGGCCGCGCTGCAACCGAGTTTTGGGAGGAAGGTTGTTGGGCACTTGCCATCATCCCTGGCCAAGTTGTGCTCAGATTCTAGGCATTAGGGAGGGAGGGCGACATACCAGTCATCCCAAGGGAAAAGCGCAGAGAGTCCGTTTCACTTCCTCCCAGCGCAACATCCCACCTGGTTGCGTGCAGGAGGAGGAGGCTGACGATGAGGGCTAGCCACCCAGCCACCGGGCACGCCACCACGAGGGTGTAGTACAGGACGCTCTGGGCCTGGGAGGGGTGGAGAGGATGCGGTGGTACACTTTGACTGCGCTGAGGGGGACAGTGAGCAGAGGACCGAGTTCAAGGAAGACCCGAGCTCCCAGCGCATCTCCCCATGCAAGCGAGGAGGTGACGATTGCACCATCGACGCGTGGAAATCCCGACCCTAACACACCGTGACCAGTCCCCGGATGACCAGGGCATTGGTGTCTGTCGGCTGCCAGTACATTAGCAGATGGAAGCTAGGGACTGCGAGCATGGGCAATTTAGGTTTGAGAGCCTATCAGTGAGAAAAAGGTTCTCTAGCTTGGCTCTGGTGTGGATGAATGCACAAGGACATTTGCTCTCATAAGCACATCTGCCCGCTGCCTCCCCATTCTTCCTCGCAGGCCAGATCTCCCTCCAGAAGGGCAGTCACTGTCACACCGCTCACCCGTTACAAAGTCGGCGGCGCGCCCGGCGGCCTGGCCGCTGCCCGGCGCCACCCAGAGATTGGGGTATGCATGGGCACTGCGGCTTACTAGATTGTTGACCTGGTACACCTTGTGGGCCCCCACCGTGAAGGAGGTGAAAGGCTCCACATCAAAGTACCAGCCGTCAGAGACGGGGTCTGGCTGCCACTCACTTTGCCCTGAGTTGTTTTGGGGGGCAAAGAGCAATAGATTGTTGGCATAGGTACACCTTTCTGAGCCTGGCACCCCAGGCACATACATGCTCAGGCTGCAAATACTGCGTGAGGCTCCTGGACGCCATCATAGGCAACCTCACCGGTGCTGTTCACGATCCGTTCGTCGGCCAGGTAGAAATGGGGAAACGAGAAGAGGGTTGGGCAGCTGAAGACGGCGCTGAGGTCAAACACCCCCTCAAACTCGTCGGGGATGAGACACCTGGTAGGGGAAACGGGAGGTTTGGAAGGAACAGTCTTCACAATCGTCAGCTCTAATTGCCCCCATGCCAGACCCTCACCATAGCTCCTGGACGGCAGGAGCAATCATCCCTCCCCCCACCACCCCCCAGCTCTCTTCTACCTGTCGCGTTGTGGGTCCTCTGTCCCAAAGTAGGGCCCCAGCGATCCAAATCTGGTCCCCTCAAAGAAAGTAGTCAGGGCCATGTCGTTCTGCACGAGGTCCCAGTAATTGCTGGCTGCCGTCAGAGCTCCAATGGCCGTCTGGAACTTGCCCTGGTCAAACTGAGTGGCCTGCGCCCACGCAGCATAGGCGCTGGCATTGCAGGAGGCCAGGCTGACGGGGTCGATCGCGAACTGCACCGTGTGGATCTTCTTCACCGAGCTCTTTGTCCCTGGGCAGTTGAGCGGATAGTTTGTTGGAGGAGAGGGGTTGACATAAGACGAGGGTGGTGCAGGATGCAGGGCAGACGAGCATGCGCGGTGGGGACTAGTCACTCCTGTGTCATGTGCCAAGCCTGCCACCCTGCTTGCCATACGCAGACCCATAAATGAACAAGACCAATCAGCCCCGCCAGCGCTCACCCCTCTGCCGCGTCTGCAGGGGCCGGAGGAGGCCTGCCTCAAAGATGATGGGCTGGGTGGCAGGGTTGTTGGTGTCCAGCACCAACAGACCCTCGGAGATGCCCGTCATGTTCATGATGCCGTCCGCGTATGCCACAAATGGGACCCCACGGTACTCCTCCACCTGGCGGGTAGAGGGTGGAAGGGTGGTGAGATCCAGGCGTACAGGTCGCCGATGAGAGCCAGGCCGCAACGCTCGTCAATGCTCCCGAGAATTCTCAGAATTGGCAGAAAGCTGTCAAGCATCAGTCCCTGACACCAGGCACCCAACCCCACGGCAACATTTGAGCCCTCAGAGCCAACGCACCCCCAACAGCGTGCTGTTGGCCGCCTGGCCCGTGGAGAGGGCCCGCTGTTGAATGAGCGGGAGGTACCTGCCTATGTCCGAGGCGCGGTAGCTCAGATCCTGGACCGCCATCGGCGCCCCCGTGGTCTGCTGGAAGAAGCGCAAGGGGGCGTCCTCCGTGGGGAAGGCCAGTGCCAGTTGTGGGGTGTAGGTCCAGGGCATGAGCTGCCAGGTGGTGGGGTGCAGCTGCTTGGCGGCCAGCAGCAGGATCGGATCCTCATACCCTGAGACAGAGGGCAGGGTGGGAGGGGGTGGACGCGGGTGGAGAGGGGGACAGTGCAGGGGTTCTGCATGACCTCAGGCCTCACTCTGCTGCAGGCAGCGCCAGATCATGGGGGCACACACGCAAACACCTCGCCCCTCTCCCCTCACCATTCAGCCACTGGTCCACGGTCTTGGTGAGGACCAGGCCGGCCCCGCCGGCGAAACTTTGGAGGAAGCCGCGATAGACCAGCGTCCCCCAGGTGGGCACCAGAGAGACGAGGTAGCCCTGGAGCAGGCCCCACTGCGTGGCGGTGATGGGGGTCAGCACCTGCGCCAGGGCCTGGGTGGCCGGCGCGGCCGCCAGGCCCGCAAGCAGCGCCGCGCGGGGGGTGGTCAGGAAGGCGCCGAGGAAGGCCGCCCCTGCAGGGTCCATGGCCGTGGCGTTGGTGGCGCCCTTTGCCGCCGCCAGGAAGGCGGCCGCCGCGCCCGTGTCCATGGCCAGCCCAAGGACGCCGAACTGGGAGGGGTCAGGCTGGAAGCCCAGGTAGGGCGCCATGGCGCCGGGGAGGTAGGCGCAGAATTCCGGGGGGTAGGGGAAGGGCCCCAGGCTGGACAGGAAGGGGGAGGTCACGCCTGAGGCCGGGTTGCTCATGGCGGCGAGCAGGGCGCCGCAGGCCGCCCACTGCGAGGCCACCGCCGAGGTTACCGCAGCATCCACCTGCACGGGGTCGGTGATGCCAAAGCCCTGAAGCGCGAGCGTGGTGGCGGGGCGCAGCGCGGCGTCGATGGAGGCGGTGATGGTGAAGAGGACGGAGGGCATGAAGGAGTAGATCATGCCCGTCTCGGCGTCCATGGCCGCCCCCGCCGCCGACTGCAGCAGCTGCTGGTAACCTCTTTGGGAATTAGTGGGTAAGGGGGGTATCAGAGGCTGAAGCTTACATGGCAGCTGAGAAGATACAATTGCTGCTTTGTGAGGCATCAATTCGCTGGAACGTGTTCCTGCATCAGTCCAGCGCCTGCCGGGATTGCGGGCAACATGCCCACCATTTATTCTGCAGCACTTGGGACCAAAGCAACCCTGCACTGGGCGCACACAATCCCGCCCAGCCCAGGCCCCAAAGCACTGCAAGAATCAACTCACCTGTTCACACCGACGATGGTGTCGCTCATGCTGCACCCTGCGCAGCTCAGGTCCGGCCGCAGCGTCTGCCACTGGTAGTAGGAGTAGGACACCGTGCTCCAGTCCGAGCTGTACTGGACGTCAAAGTGCTTCTCTCCCGTGGCGAAGGTGTAGGGTCCCACTTCGTGGTATGCTGGCGGCTCGGTCCCCGCCAGCCACTGCAAGAGAGGTGGGGACGGAGGTGGTGAGATGGGAGTGTCCAAGCAAAGGACTGCTCGATAAAACCCATCCCTCCTACAAGCTGCCCACAGCAGTGCCAGCACACCACCAAGGCCTCACCTGCTCGGCATTGGTGATATTGAAAAAGTAATAGTCAATGAAGGTCTCCGACTTGCAGGACTGTGAGATCATACGGTTGTCATAGCAGTCGGTATCGGGGGTGATGACCTGTGGTGATGAGCGAGAGTTGGGCTTCGGGGTGAGAGAATGTATTCTCAAAGCCACTGCCAGTCCCCCAGCCCCCCCGGGCCCCTTCAGCTTCATCGATGAACCAAGCGGATCCCGCGCAACTGGGCTAATGCCACCGTCCTGACACAGCCAGTGCCACTGGCGGCGCTGGGCACACCTGGGAGGCATCTAGCAGCAGCTGCAGGAATGGATCGAGCACGAAGATGCCCATGAGCGGGCCCAGCCACCACAGGATGGAGCCCAGGAGGAGGGAGAACAGAAGCCAGTAGCGACGGCTGCTGGTGCGGTCCCCTGGAAACTGGTAGGACCTGGGGTCAGGGATTGGGGATGCAGGTGGGACGCGGGTAGAGCAGGGCAACTCCCGTCGGCCAGAGCACCAGACCCCAATCAGTTCATGACTTGATCATCCAAACATGCACAGATCCCCACCACACACTCACTGCACGAGAGTCTCGGCCGTGTGTGTGGTGGCTTCGCCCGGCTCTGGGTGGATCTTGATCTGGCAGGGGACCTCTGTGACGCTGGGAGGGGCGCCTTCGGGTGCCACTCCAGTCCGCAGCCTCCTCCAGCCCCAGACTCGCACCAACAACCGGCTCACCATGCCGGCATGCACCTCAAGGGTATCAGTAGTTTAATAGATTTGTATCAGGACGCGTTCACGAGGTTCACAAACTGTTCCTGGGGCACGGTCATGTCCACATGTCGACCATCTCCGACATGGATTGGGCATCTACAAGCTCATGAACGTCTATCCAACGATGTGTTATAGCAACATCTTCGCCTTAGCGGTACTCCCCCCCTCGTAATCGTGCTGCAGCTCCCGTGGGACGGAGAGTCGATGATCGGGCACGCCCGCCAACCCGGGTGGTGATGAGACCCTGTGGCCGTGCGACAGGACCCCCTCGCATGATACACGTCGCGATCACGCAAGAGTGAATGAACTTACGATGTGCAGCTTCGTATTCTGTATATGAACTGGCGATCCCATGCATGCCAGCATTCCTTCAACATGCACGGTAGCCACGTGTCTGGGGTTGGCCAACAACAGCATGGGTGAACGGCAGCAGGGCGGCCAGGCTCTCCCACGCTACAGGAGCTCGATAATGAGGCCCACGGCCAGTGTCCTTCCCCCGTCCCGCAGCACCACCCTGCCCAGCGCGGGAAGGTCGGCAGCCGTCTCCAGCGCCAGCGGCCTCGCCAGCGCCACCTCCACCAGCGCCCGCTGGCCGGACACAAGAAAGCGCGCCGGTCGGGGCGAGGGGCCGTCCTGCTGAAGCCTCCTCAGCGTCCCGCTCTCCTTGGCGGCGTGGCAGTACACCGACACCTGTGTTCGGGAGCAGGGAAAGGTAGCGCTCGGACTCAATGCCTGGTTTAGTGTGGATCTTGCTGCTCGCATGACAACCAGTCCATTGCCTGGGCCTCTTGGTCCAGCAAATCAGCATCGCCCCTCAGTTCGACCACTCCGGCCATCCCTGCAACAGAACCTGTCTGGCCTCTATACTCTCGGACACCCTGCCCCGTCCGCTCCTCATAGATGTACACCTCAACCCCCCACTTTCCCACTTTCCCTCCGCCCCCCTACCCTTACCTGCTGGCCTGGCAGGATGGGTCCCGGCACTTGCAGCACCAGCACTCGTGCCCGGAAAGCCGACGCGGCGGGCACTGGCCAGGCGGGGTCGCACACGATTGACCCCGGTCCGACCGACCCCGGGTCGTCCAACCCTGCCAGCGTCAGCGACGCGCCGCTGCCGGCCAGCAGCGCGGCGGGACTGCTACCTCCCGCCGCCACGCCGCCGGCGCCCTCGGCGCCCAGCGTGCGCACCGTGGCGGCCTGGCCCGAGGGCATGACCAGCACGCGACTGCCCGGCAGCAGCGCCCCCGCCTCGAGCTTGCCGCCCAGCTGCGCGGCTCCCTTGGAGCCCGCGGCGGCCGCCTCGTGCACGACCAGGCGCAGCGGCAGGCGGAGCGCCCTTTCCCGCTCACTCTCGCCGCCACTACCAGGCCGGAAGGCGTCGATGGCGTCTTCCAGCGTGCCGCCGCGCCACCAGGCGCCCAACCCGGTGCCGTCCCCGCGCCCGCGCAGGTTGTCGCCCGTGACCCCGGAGGCGGGCAGCCACTGCACCGCCCTGCTGGCAAAGCCGCAGGACTTCAAAAAGGGCTCCAGAGATCCACGCACCGCCGCAAAGCGCGCGGCCTGCTCCTCTGGGTCGCCAGAGATGGCATCCAGCTTGGTGCCCACCACCGCCAACTGGCTGATGCCCAGGCTGCGGGCCAGCTGGGCGTGCTCCCGCGTCTGGCCCCCGATTGACCCCGGGCCGGAGGGCGGCGCGAAGCCCGCCTCAAAGCCGCCTGGGTGGGTGAGAGGGGGTTTAAGAGGTGGAACATCGAGGCCATGATCCAGCAAGGGGCCAAAGGAATGCTTGGGATTCCAATGACACGCCCCTGATCACCACGACTCCCACCCCCCCCGGCTCCGCCGCGCACCGACGGAGCAGTCCACGACCAGGAGCGCGGCGTCAGCCTGGGCAGCCCCCGCAATCATGGCGGGACAAAGTCGCGATGCCCCGGGGCATCCAAAAGGGTGACTTGACGCTGACTGGTTTCGAATCTTTGGCGCAGCACGGGTTGTGGGAGTGAGGGTGGGGAGGAGCTAAGGTGTTGCGGCTGACCGGGAGGTCAACATGGTGACTGACCTTGGGCAAGGCTGGGGAGCCCTGGCATCTTGTCTCGATACCAACCTGATCAATTTCCAGCTCACCTGGTCATGGCCACCTCCACCGTCACGCCGCGCGCCCTTTCCTCGGGGCGCTCATCCAGCATCCAGGCCCACGCGAAGGACCCCTTCCCGGCAGCCGCCGCCTCACGCTGCGGAGGGTAGAGGGACAGGGCAAGGGATCAGGGCACCCGACGCATGCCCTGCGCCGTGCCGCAGCGGCGCCTCCTACCCCGTGACAGCCTTGCGACGGAGCAGCAGAGGCTCCCCAGTCCCCGCCCATTCCCTCCTGTCCCGTGCTCATGCCTGCGTCTTGTGGACGACGCGCTGCGGGACCAGGCCCAGCTCCACTAGGAAGCGGCCCATGAGCGTCGACTTGCCGGCGTCCACATGGCCCAGCACGACAAGGTGGAGGCAGGGCTTGGCACCCGCTGCGCTTTCCTCAGCCACCGTTGCCGCGCAGGCGCGCGCCACTTCGGCGCTGGGCTCGTAGGCGGACAGGGCGTGGCGCGGGGCGGGCGGCAGTTGGGTGGCCTGGTCCTCGGCCGGCGCCGCGCCCAGCTGCAGCTTGGAGCGCAACGCTTCCGACACCTCCTCGGTGCCGTCTTTCGCGGCCGGCCCGGGGGCGGGCGGGGGCGGTTGGCCTCCCGGCGGCTTCTTCCGTGCGCCCCCGCGAGCGGCGGCTTCCCGCGCCGCGTCGTCCGGCGAGGGGGTGTCAAAGCGGAAGGGGCCGGCAGGGCCGGGGACCAGGGGCTGTGGCGCCCTGCGCAGGGCCGCTGCCTGGGCAGTATTGGCGCCTGCAGGACAGGTGTCGCGTGAGTGGGGGGCACATGCCTGAGCGGAGTAACGGGTGCGGGTCACAGGGGGACCACCTCGGCAATGGAGCGATGCATCATCAATTACGGTCCCACACCGTAAGCTCACCCTCTGCCTTGCCGGCGCCTGGGGTCTGTGTCAAGCCCTTCCCCAGCGCCGAGGGTGCGGTCTTGGCCACCCGGGTCCGCTGCACATGCTGGGCGAGGTGATGCAGCGCTGATGGAATTATCAATCTGTATCCTGGGCCCTGATCGCGGTGACATATGCAGTGCACTTCGGGGTCACACCATCTGCCCCCTGGCACCCTCTCCTTTCATTGAGCTCTCACCTGGGGTGCTGCAGGAGGCTGGGCAGCGGTCTCTTCCGCGTACCACTCCTCCTCGTCCTCCTCCTCTTCTTCGTCATCGTACCCATCATCGTAATCCTCCTCGTAGTACTTGCTCCCCTTGCGCATCCCCCTGCGCGAGGGGGCCCCACACCCCGAGGTACCGGAGTGGTGGCCACTGGGGTTTCGGGGGCCGGAGTCTTCTGGGACTTCAAGATATGCAACTTAATGTTCTTCTATATTTATGGGTTATTGTTACAAGTGGTCGCGCGTGATGTATGGCTCATGGTCCAGCAGTGTGGAATGCGACCGGGGTTCAGTCTCCGAACGGAAGTGGCGCACGACGGACCCCCTTCAAAATTGTGCTGTCCCCTCTGCCTTTAACATGACAGGTGAGCAGGCTTCTTTATACACAACCCGTGCACTCCTTTCATTATTTGTGGGCCTTCTCCAGGGCCTTGATGGCCAAGCGGGGCTTTATGGTGCACGCCTCCCCAGACAGGAGGGACAGGCCCGCAAACACTTTGCTACCGCCCACGGGTAGCATCTCCAGCAAGACCACCAGCGATGGTTCTGCCAGATCCACCCTGACTGTGCAGTGAGGTAGCCATGTTTTAATGCCAGCCTGGAGGCCTGCTGCCGCCGCCGCCGTAAGCTCCTGACGCAAGCTCTGGGTAGCTCCAGCAGCACCCTGGTCGCCCTTTGGTCTTGATGTCTGCACAGCATCCTGCGCTGATCCACTGGCATCCGTGCTGGGAGGGCTGGCCTCCTTGTCCAACCCACCGGCAGGGAGGGCATTTGCTCCCTGTCCAGAGGCAACCGCAGCCGATGGCTCAGCTGCTTGGTCCCTGCTCTTCACCGCCACGCCGACACACGGTCCTTGATTCCCACGTGGCTTGAACGCAACTGCAAAAGTAAGCAGCTGGGCTTCGTCTTCCCTGTCTGGCGCAGTACCTCCAGGCCAGCAGTACTGCCAGTGCTCAGAGCGGGTGGCCAGATCCGAGGCTGCACCTCGTACAGCTGTCGCATCAGCGGTGCAGGTGGTCTGAATGGGGGTCAGTCGCTGGAGAAAACGCGCTGAGCTGCCTCCCGTCACAATGGAGACGGCCAGGGAGGCGGCCAGGAGCGCCAGATCCCTGTTGGGGGAAGGTAGGTCCCCGGCGACCTCAGCCGCAGCACTGCTGGGCATGAGGCGGAGGGCGGACAGGCCCCTCGCTGCAAGCTTGATGCTAGAGAGTGGGGGAAGGGCCTGGATTGGGTTAGGCTGGCTCACCAGTGCACCCTCGAGGAGCGTCACAGCCTCCTTCAAGGCGCTCTTCTCCCTGCAGCAGTGCATGGGGGAGTGGGAGCGTGAAGGTCAACAAGCAACCCAGGAACAGCTGGTTCTGAAGGTGTCAGAGCAACATACTGCTACCATGTATGCGCTTTACACACATCGAAACTGTAAAGGACTCCAGCGCACCTGTCAAAGGTAGATGTGAGGAGGAAGCCTGTGAGACCCTCCTCCATGAGCTCTGGCGCGGCGTAGTCGAAGCGGCCAATGCTGGCCTCTGTCCTCACACGCTTGGCACTGGGATTTGAGCTTCGACGCATCTCCCTCTCAGCAGCCCGGCGCAGTTTATCATCGATCTGTATGTCCGCGCCATCGTCGGTGTCGGGGCCCACCGCCACAGTAGGTATCACGCTGCTTTCCTCCAGTGCTGGGCCCATGATGTTGTTCGGATTCGCCATTGTAATACTTTGGTTCCTTCATCGAATCGCATCTGTGCTCAAGGAAGTGCGGTGCTCTGGTGGGCGATGTGTCGACATGCATACGTGTAGGGGGTGCTCTGCCTGCTTTGGGAGGGACAGTGACTATGCCCAGGCCTGTCCTCCTGGCAACGCTGCGACGGATGATGCAGGCGAACCCCTCTCCAGTAACAGTTGGTACCAGGAGAGAACTAGGCAGTCGTCGGCACCCAGACGATTGAGGGAGAGCAGGCATGGACAGAGATATGGCGTGTGTTTGGGAAAGCGGGAAAAGGGCCAGCACACCACAACATGCATAGCAGGACAGGAGGGATTCCGCGTCATGCCTCATGGGCACTGCACATTGAGCTTTGGAGCTGCGAGAGGGGGAGGGGTGGCAGGCGTGCAAGCCTGGCCCCACCGCTCCCCGTTGCCCACACACAGAGGCATGGGGGGAATCTGGGTGGGTAACTGCCCTGGCTGCAAGGGCCCACAGCCTAGGCTCCGCACTCTACTTTCCCCTCAGACCGCTCCATCCATCCGGCTCAGAAGAACTTGGTGGTGAAGTAGTCGGCGTCGAATTTGTGCAGCCGGACGTAGCCCTCCTCGCCGCCGCTGGCAAAGCCGGTGCCGTCGGGGCTGAAGGAGACGGCGTTGATGGGCCCAAAGTGGCCGCGCACGTTACCAAACTCCTCTTGGAACACCTTGTGGAAGAAGCGGGACTCGAAACGCCCCGCCCGCGAGCTGGTGGTGGTCACCTGGGACGCGTCCTGCCCGCCCCCCAAGATGACGTGGTCGTAGACGGGTGAGAGGGCTGCGGAGTTGACGGGGACGTTGGACTGGTAGGTCTTGAGCACGGCCAGGGTCTGGGTGTCCACCAGCTTGGAGGAGCAGTCCACGGAGGCGGTGATGAAGTGGGTGCCGTCCACCGACATCTGCAAGTCCTGGATGTTCTTCTCGTGCACGTGCTCGGCGGCCAGCTCCTTCCCCGTCTGAGTTGTGGATGGGGTGAGAGGGGGTTGGAGTGGGAGTGGGTGTATGTGTGGGAGAACGGTGGGAGGGTAGGGGAATCGACCTCCCATCCGCACATGGCATTGATTCAGAGGGGCAGCAGGCCATGCCGTGGGCCCTGCACCCCAAACTCCACATTGCAGATCCAGGAATGGAGCCCGTATGAAGTTCCAACCCCCATCACAGCTGTCTGTCCCGCCAGCCCAGACCCTGGGCTGTGGGAAATCTCCACAGGGCGCCAGCCTGACTTCCTGGTATTAGGGCTGTCGCCCTTCCCATCCGAGGACGCCCAGCCACCTTCCCCCCTCACACCCATCCATGCACCTCCACGTCCCAGCGGCGCACGAAGCCGTCCTCGCTGGCGGTGATCAGGGTCCGGTTCTGATCGGTCCACTCCACGCGTGCGATGCGGCCACGGGGGCCTCGCAGCGTCTGCACCGCCTCCTCCCCCTGCTCTGCGGGGTCGGCTGCGATGGGCAGGATGCGCACCGCCGACACGGCCTGCATGAAGGGGTCGGAGGACACCGCGGCGAAGGCCTCGCCGACGGAAAACTTGACCGCGCGGCACGGCTCCTGGAACCGGAAGTGGTGCTGCTCCTCGCCCGTGTTCATGTCCCACAGGATAACGGCGCTGTCGGCCCCGCCCGTGATCAGGCGGGTGCTGTCATCTGTGGTGTGAGGGATGTCCAGAGGGGCAGGCGGTGGAGGGTGAGGAGATGGCGTGGATGGGGATCGCCCTGTGCACGATACATCCGACTCCACCGTTGCTGGGACTCACGGCCTCCCAGAGCCAAGAGGTGGCTGCTCAATCACCGCATGCAGCAAGCCCACTTCACCCCATTGCACCCACAGGAAATGTCAGAGGTCCACACGGCGCCCGTGTGCCCATTGAAGGTGCCAGCCCGCTGGCCATCCTCCGTCCACCACAAGTTCACGGTCTTGTCCTGCGGCAACAGGGGGGGAACGGTTGCGAATCGAAACTATCATGTTACCCAGCGGTTTCTAAATTCCTCAAGAAACGGCTGAGGGGTCTGCCACTCCGCACCTTGCCGCAGGTCACGAGCAGGTCGCCCTCCCGGTTATATCTGCGCGTGACGGCGGGTGGGGTGAGAGTGATCGCCAGGAGGGAGGCAAGCTTGCTTTCATTCATCCCTGAACGTCACTCACTTGACTTGATTGAGGGGCCGGGAGTGGCCCTGCAGGATAAAGGGCCGCATGCTGCGCTGATGGCAGCCCTGTTGGGGGCGCGACCAGCCTCTGTTTGGCGTGTGTCTTTATCAAAGGGTCTGAACGCGTCCTCTGCCGAGCCTTAGATACGTAGGGCGCTGTGCAGCTCATTTCCCGGCTCACCTCCTTGGCCGAGCACCCCCTCGGAGGCCTGACTGTGCCTCCCTCGAATGCCACCCCGGGACAAAGCACGTGGCCGTCCCCCCGGCGCCCAACTCACGAATAAACAGGTCCAGCGCTGTATGCCGAAGGCAGAGCAATCACGACCAGGAGTGCTCAAGGAAACTCGATACGATCACAAAGAACTGGAGTAAAGCATGCGTAGATAGGACACCACCTCGCTGTTGGTGGCGGGGCTAAGGGCGGTGCAGTTGCCCAGAGCGCGAGTTCGCAGCGCTCTGGCACCATGGCCAGCCTGACGCCAGCCGACATCCCTGCGCTCCATCATGTACTGATGGCAGCCATTACACAGGATCCGACTACTCAGAAGGCTGCAGAGGCGGAGCTGCTGTCCGTTTCAGCCCGGCCCGGCTTCTGTTCCTGTCTCGTCGTGAGTGCCCATGTCGCCCGGGCCCTGGAAACAATGAGGTGGACACCCAGATCTGAAGTAAATATGTAATTGCATCGATAATGAAACGCATTCTACCAATGGTCTGAGCGTTTGACTCATCCCCCCTCCCCGCCCTCCCCCATCCTCACCTGGGTCCCCAGGAAATTTTGAGTACACCTGGTACGGACTCCTCATGCCGGTGGATGGCAGTCCTCCAGCTCAAGAACATCGTGCTGCGACACTGGCGCAGTATTCTTCCAGGGTGAGAACACAGAGGTTGTGTCTACAGATGCGTACGTTTACATGGATCTGGGGTTTGCACATATGCACTGACCTTACATTGCTGGTCAGAAGCCAATTTTGGCAGGACCCCATGTAGGTTTAAAGGTCGCAGCCACACCTATTCTTGCTGTCTGTATGCACGCAGGGCCCTGTCGGCTGACGAAAAAGCACACCTTCGCTCTCGAATGCTCGGTCTTTTAGCCCTGGAGGATCCAAAGGCAAGTGAGAGCTTTCCCTCGCTGTGCTCTTGAGACGATCACCATCAGAGGTGGAATCTATGGTTATCCAACGGCGCAAATGACAGTGCTCAGTGCTGGGAGTCCCCTGCTCATGCTGAAGGGTTTTACTTCTCCTCAAGTGAGAGTGCAACATTGCCGTCGCCAAGCATCTGTTGGCATCTGCCTCCGATATTTCACCCCAACAAACCTCCCCCCCTCTGCATGTCTTGCTGCAGCTTGCCGTCCAAGTGGCAGTTGTGATCTCCAAGATTGCACGGGTGGACTACCCCAAAGCCTGGCCGGACCTCTTCCAAACGCTGCTGGCGCTCCTGTCTGAGGCCACCTCCAGGCACACAGGTGGGAAAGGGAGAATTTATGCACTGCTAGGGGTGTGACCCCTGCACTGATGGCTCTGGTGCTGTGGTGATGCTAGCCATGCGCATTGTGGGACGATTTCCATGCGCAGGGCCGTCGACTTGTTGGGCCATCTGTGGAGATGCGCCTGGGTGGGTGCTGTAGCACAAACCGCCCGGACCCACTCGGGGCAGAGGGGGCACACTCTGCCTCCCGGCCACCCAAGCACACGTGGCCCATGTCCCACCCGACTCACCCGCCTCGACACACCCCTCCTGCAGAGCAGCGCACGCTGCTGGTCCTGCATCATGTGCTCAAGGAGCTGGCCTCCAAGCGGCTCCAGTCCGACCAGCGTGCCTTTGAGGCGGTGGCAGCCCTCCTAACTCGGCCCCCTGGCGTCCCGCTGGTCGGCAGACACCGCTGCCCTCCTGGCCCTGCTGTCCAACCCGGGGGGCGGCCCGGCGCCCATCTACGGCTCGTGGCTGCTGGGCCTCAAGTGTCTCCGCCGGCTGCTGGCCTACGGCTTCCCCTCGGACGCCCGGACGTTGACCTGCTCGAGCGAGGTGGTGGCGGCACTGCCAGCGCTGCTGAGCGCACTGCGCGCGCTGGGCTTGCTGCAGCGGGACGAGGCCCAGGAAGGCACCCTGAAGCTGCTCAAGGCCCTGCTCCACCTCCAGGAGCTGCACCCTTGGTGAGGAGTGCGGGAGGGGGGAAAGGGCACGGCGCGCCATCCTCCTGCGCGCTGCGCCCTGCGATGGTTTCGGGGGAGGAGGGTCCCCTTCCCACCCCTGCTTGGGGCTCGCACAGGGTCTCCCTCCATCTCCCCCAAAACTCCGAGAGCAAACGTCCAGCTTCCCCCCCTCGCAGGAGCTTCTGGCCCTCCTGCGTCCTGCTCCCGTTGCTGGAATGGTGCGTGGACTGGCTGGCGGGCCCTGGGCGCGGCGCGGCTGCCGGCGCCGCCGCGCGCCTGCCCATGCTCCTGCTTCACCAGACCCTGCGCTGCCCGTCCTACCGAGGCGCCAGCGCGGCCCTGACCCTGAACCTGTCGGCGCGGCGCCAGGTGGAGCAGCAGTCCTCCATGGCGGCCGAGGTCCGAGCCGGGCTGGAGGAGTTCTGGGGCGCGGAGGACCGGCGCCCACGCCTCCTCCGCAGCCTGGTCCTGCGCTACATCCCGCTGACCTCGGAGGACCTGGAGGAGTGGGCCGTGGGGCCGGAGGCCTTCCACCACGCCCTGATGAACGTGGCCTGGGAGGAGAGCGTGCGCGGGTGCGCCGAGAACCTGGCCCTGGCCCTCTTCGAGGTGGGTGGGGTGGAGGGGAGGGCTGGCATCGGGTGGGCTGTCATGATGTGCAGAGGATGGTCGTCAGCGCCGTCACCAGCTCGTCCTGGCTGGCCGGGGCTCGGCGCTCTCAAGCTCGTGATGCCTCCTCGCACACCGCGCGCCCTGTGGATGCGCGGCCGCGCCCCTCATCCAGCCCCTCCCCTTCCTCTCCGTGGACCCCCTGTCCCCATAATGCCCGCAGGGGCACCGCAAGGAGCTGGCCCCCGTGGCCGTAGGGCTGCTGCACGCGGCCTGCGCCTCGCCCAACGTGCTGGAAAGGGAGGCGGCATACCGACTGGTGGCCGTGGCTGCCGAGGAGCTGCACGGCGCGCTCGACTTCCCTGCCTGGCTCCACTCCACGCTGCTGCCGGAGGCACACGGCGCGAACCTGGCCGCGGCGCGGCCGTCGCCAAACCCCCTGCGCCGCGCGGCCTTGCTCCTGCCCGGCCACTGGCTGGGGGAGCTGAAGAGCGAGGACCGCATGGCTCTGCACACCACCATGCTGTGTGCACTGGGCAGGGAGTGCGACATGGCCGTGCGTCTGGCGGCGCTGGTCACCCTGCGCGCCCTCGTGGACGACTGGTGTGTGCTTGTGTGTGTGTGTCTGGAGGGGCCGGGGGGTTGGGTGGAGAGGGAGGGGGGGGAGGAGGGGGAGGAGGGAGGAAGGGAGCTGTCGGGCACGCTGGCGGTGTGGATGCAGCTGGCTGCCTGATCACGCCCATTCCTCCCACAACTGGACTCGTATGGGACGCGGCAAAGGCATCCAGCCCCTCTGGAGTCCTTGACTCGCGCTGTGCCAGGGCTCTGGTGTTGCATGCCCCTGCAAGGTGCTGTGGCCATGCCTGGATCCCTGCTCCCCGCGCGCCAGCGAGCCCCGCCTGTCGGGGCAGGACTCCAAGGGCCCCGCATGCCCCCCAGCCAACCATCACACTCACACACGCCTGCCCAGGAGCTTTGAACATGCCGAATACACGCCCTTTGTGGCCTCCAGCTTTGAGGCAGTGGGTGCCATGCTCCAGGACGCGACCGAGCTGGACACACAGCTGCAGGTGACACACAGGGGTCGTTGGAGAGGGGGAGTACCAAGGGCTTGCCAGAGTGCGTTCCGGGCGATGGGGGACCGCCAGAAGGGTGAAGGCAGGGGCGACCTGTCGCGGCATGCCCGCCGCCATGTCATGATGCCGCCGCGGTCCAGCTCCTGGCAACCATTCCCTCCGCACCCGCTCGGCCGGTGACCCCCCCCCCCTCCCCCCCCCCTTATGTACCACGTTGCCTCACCCACTGCCACACGCAAGCAAGGGTCTCATCCCCACCCCCAAACTACCCTCCCCCCCGCCTCGCAGGCCTTCGACTACTTGAACACCCTGATTGGCCGGCTGCGGGAAGGCGTCGTTCCCCACGCCCCCGGCCTCATGCGCCTGCTGCCCGCCGTCTGGTCGGGCCCCGGCGCCGACCTCCCCCCTCCTGTGCATGCAGGCGCTGGGCACGCTGTCCCGCGTGCTGTGCGCGCTGGGCCTCGACTCCCCGGCCGTGCACCCGGCGCTGCTGCCGGCGCTCCACGCCGCGCTGGACCCCTCCGCCGACTGCGGCGTGTGCGAGGACGGGCTGCAGACCTGGCTGGTGGCGCTGCGGTGCAGCCCCGACCTGCCCGGCGGCGGCGCCTCGCCCCTGCTGAGCGACCTCTGGGCCCGGGCCTGGCCCTCCGCCATGGACGGCAGCACGGAGCACGTGGCGGTGGGTTGCCGCATCGCCACCTCCGCTCTGCTCCTGGGCGGGCCGAGCTTCCTGGCCCAGCACGGCGCGGGCCTGGCCGCCACGCTCGCCGCCTGGCTGGTCGGCGTGAACGACCGCGGCGCGGCACACGCCGCCCACACGCTGGCGCTGGCGTGCCAGGTGGCAGGCCGCGGGCCCTGTGCGGCCGCGCTCACGCCCGCGCTGCGCGCGCTCCTGGCGCGCCTGGGCGACGCGGCGCCAGGACGCGCGCTGGGCGCGCACGCCGTCGCGCCCGCGCTGTCGGCCGTGGCGCGCGCGGCGCTGCATGCGGGGCCCCGCGCGGTGCTGGCCGCGCTGCCGGACGAGACTGCGGCGCGCGGCCTCATGCGCGTCTGGCTGGACCACCTGGACGCGGTTGGCCGCCCGGGGCAGCGCGTGCTGCACGCGCTGGGGCTGGCGGCCATGCTGCCCGCACCCGTGCAGGGCCTGCTTGGGTGCCTGGGCGAGGTCACCGCGCACTACTCCGCGACGAGCTACAACGTGGTGTGGGCGGGGTCACCCTCAAGGGAGGGAGCGGCGCGGGACGCGCTCAGGCTGGACTTCCTGCCCCCACCCCCCGCGCACGACGAGGCCGAGGCGGTCGCCAGCGAGGATGCGGTGGGGGAGGGGCGCCGGCGCGACGCGCTCTGGCAGGCCGACCCCGTGCACACGCTGAGCATGCGGGGCTTCATGAGGGAGCAGCTGGAGGCAGCGGCAGCAACGCACGGCAAGGCGGGGCTGCTCAAGGCCGCCGCCGACATGGACCCCTCGATGCAGAGCGAGCTGTGGAGCTTGGCCGAGGCCGATGGCGACTAGCATGCGGTTTCGAGGGGGCTCGTAGGGTGCGGCGGCACCGCCGCCGGCTCAGCAGGCGCCGCCACAGGGGAGAGGAAGGGGGCCGCAGGTCCCCCCCTGCTCCTGGGCGGGGAGGGCAGGTCCAGACACGACCGTGCTCTGGGCCACACAGAGTGGAAGCTGTGGGTCTTGGAGGCTGCCGTGCCCCAGGAGCGGGCCCTGGTGCACTGTCAACCCCTTGTGGGAGGCCGAGGATGTCATGCTCGGCCCGTGTCTAATGTGATCTTGTACATCTGAGCGAGGCCTGAATGAGGGAATGCAGAGTCCATCTGGGGTGCAGAAATGGTCCTGAGGATGCGTCAAGCAGGTGCTGTGCAGCAAGGCCCTCATGCAAAGGAATAGCCAAATGCTTGGATAAGACAATGATCCCCCTATAACTCATGTTTTTCCTCCTAATCATTCCCAATCTGGGTGATCCCCCATGTACATTTCCAGTTCCAGCAATGACTGTCATTTGAATTGGCGCGCGTGGTGGCCTTTTGGCTCCTGGTGGGGTGCAAGTCCGTGACCCCAACCCCGCCACCGTCGCCCGCATCAAGACCGCCTCTGTCCTGCCGGGCCGACCAGTCGGCATCTTCGTTCGGCACCTGCACAGATCATTGCACCCTCCCCTGCATTCATCGGGGCACGTTACTGCGAGGTCAACGCCCGAGCAAGTCAAGATGCCGCGCGACATGACTGCCACGGGGAGGTAAGGGAACGCGAGCTGCTACCGCCCGGCCCTGGATCCCGTTGCAGCACCTTGGCTCACGATCTGCGTGCTCCTCGGCAGGTATCCTCCCGTCCCCAAGCACCCGCCCATCGCCTTCTACTCCGCCGTGCGGCTCGGCGACCCCGAGCAGCTGGCGCTGATCATGGCCACTGACCCCTACTTCATCACCCAGGACAACGGTGCAGGAGCCCCCGTGCACTTTGCGACCACCTACAAGCAGCTGGACATGGTGCGAGTGGTGGGGTGTCGGAGGAAAGGTGGGGGGGTGGTGGGATGGCCTCCAGGGGTGCTGCCCGCAGGAGCAGGTGGATCCTTGGAGCAGGTGAATTCTTGGGGCACATGAACGCCAATTTGCGATCTCTTATCTCCCTTTCCTCCGCAACCTGGTGTCGCCAGGCCTTCCCGGCGCCCCTCCACACCCACCACCTCATGCCAACTCCCCACCCGCTGCCGCAGCTGCACCACCTGTTGAACAACGGTGCCGAGGTCAATCAGAGGGACGAGAAGGGGTTCACCCCCCTGCACCGCGCCGCCTACCTGGCACACTTTGACGGGTACCTTGAGATCTACGAGTATCTGCTGGTACGCCCTGTGATGAGGGAAACACACTCTTTGAAAGTGGCAGTGCTTCCTCTGTGTTCCACAGCTCAATTATCCTTTATGCTGGCTGCCCTTTGAGAAACGCTTGGCACTCACGGTACTGACGGGGTGGATGGAAGCAAAATCATGCACCCCCCTTGCATGCAGAATGCCCTCCTTGCCGCAACCCCTGGCCTCACCCTTTGACGCAAGCCATTAACCCCAACTATCAACCTCATCCCTTGATCGCTCCCCCTCTAAAAGCCTAACCCCCCCACTTCACCGTCACCTCGTCCTCCTGCAGTCTCGCGGCGCGGACCCCTCCATCACCACCAACGACTTTGACCCCTACCTCTCCCCCGGGGTCAAGCTGCCCGTGGAGGTGGCCACCGACGACCAGGCCATCCGCGACAAGCTGCTGGCCCTGGAGAAGAAGTACGCTGGGGTCGCCAAGGCCCGCCACCCCCACCCTGATATCGGCTGCTGGTGGACGCTGTATGACTACGGCCTGGAGCGGGTGAAGACCTGGGACGCAGAGTACCGGCACCCCTACCCCGAGCAGGTCAAGCGCGAGCGCGACGCGGCGGCGCGCAAGGCCGCCAAGGCGGAGCACCGCCGCGCCAAGGCGGCAGCGCTGGCCGCCGGCGGCCTGCCCGCCACCAAGAAGGCCCCAGCCCCCGCCGGCCCCATCGCCTTCCTGTTCCCGGGCCAGGGCTCGCAGGCCGTGGGCATGCTGAACCAGTCCAAGGACATCCCTGCAGTCAAGGCCATGCTGGAAAGGGCCGAGCGCGTGCTGGGCTACGACCTGCTGGCGCTCTGCACCGAAGGGCCCAAGGAGAAGCTGGACGACACCATCTACTCCCAGGTTGGTTGGGGATGGCGGGGGTGGGAGCAGGTGAGAGGGTAGGGATCGGGGGGGTCCCTGAGCGGCTGCATTCAGCTACCGGAGAGGGCAGGCACTGAAAGGCGGTGGAAAGGACGGGCTCCTGTGGTCCAGGCGGCGTGGAGGCTGCCCCCATCTTACGGCGCTGAGACTCAAGTGTTTCCCCCCCCCGCGACATCTCATTTCCCAACCCCACCCACCCACCAGCCTGCGCTGTTTGTGGCGGGACTGGCGGCCGTGGAGAAGCTGCGCGCCGAGAACCCGGCGGCCGTGGATGGGGCCGCCTCGGCCGCGGGCCTCTCCCTGGGCGAGTACACTGCCCTCGTCTTCTCCGGTGCCATCTCCTTCGAGGATGGGCTCAAGGTGGTCAAGGTCCGCGCCAGCTCCATGGCGGCGGCCGCCAAGGCGGGCCGACCCCACGGCATGCTCAGCGTGGTGGGGCTGAACGACGCTGACCTGGAGAAGGTGGTGGCAGAAGTCAACACGAAGCTGCCGGACAGCGTCTGCCGCGTGGCAAACTACCTGTTCCCCTCAGGCCGCGTCGTCTCCGGTGGGTGACCGGGAGCGTATTAAAGTATGGGGGGTTTGAAGTCTACGGGAAGGGGTCCTCTGGGCGTTGTTGCTGGGGCGGGGGGGAGCAGTTCTGAAGGGTGGGGGCGCACGTGTGCGGCTGGTGAGAGGGACAGAGATCCAGCGTGGTGCACTGGCTTAGCTCTTCATCCATTGCGCACTCAAACCCCTAATCCAATCCTTGCCACAACCTGCCTCAATCCCCCGCAGGGCACAAGGATGCTCTGGAGGAGGCCCAGAAGGCAGCCGTGGCCGCCGGCGCCATCAAGGCCGTGTCGCTGGCAGTGAGCGGCGCTTTCCACACCACGCTCATGCAGCCCGCTCGCGAGGCGCTGGAGGAGGTGGGCTAGGATCTGCTGGTGGTGGGGCAGTTTGAGGGTCTGTGTGAGGGACTGGTGGGCTGCAATGGCCAGGTACGATGAATCAGCCATTGCATGCTCTGCCCCGGCGACGCAGCTTGCTGCAGCTGCTCGACAGTAGTGTTGTTGTGGCTGGCATGAGCAGCGCATGAAGAAGCAACACGCTCCCCCATCGTCCTCCGCGCAGGTGCTGAACAGCATCGAGATCAAGGAGCCTCGCATCCCGGTGTACAGCAACGTCACGGGCAAGGTGTTCGAGGACGCCAAGGAAATCGCAGCGCTGCTGCCCCGACAGCTGGTGGAGCCCGTGAGATGGGAGCCCACCATCCGTGCCCTCGTCGCTGCGGGTACGGTGAAGGGAGTGGGACAGCGTGTACTTGCTTGCCTGTGCCTTGCTGCCAGAGTCCACCAGTCCAATCACCACCTCCACACTCATACTTTCCTACAGGCAAGAATCAGCTGTTCGAGCTGGGGCCGGGTGCGCAGATCAAGGCCATGGTCAAGCGCATTGACCCTGGCGCATGGGGGGCGTTCAAGAATGTGGCGGCCTGACCTAGATATGTGGCTGTGTGGCATCTGTAACGGACTGGAATTGATGCCAAGTCGCGGGGATGTTATGCTTGTTGAACACAGACACGCTGCTCGAATTATAAGACCTGCTCAGGTTGTCCTCAAGAGGGCCCATTGTTCTCGCCCTCTTGCCCTCAACTCCGTCCACGAAAGGTCTAGCGCACATTACAGAGGATCGTGGGGGCAGGAAACACTGCCGACCGCCACAGCAAATCACAGCATGCTCAGGGATGAAATTGTGGCAGCGCCACTCGCTCAGTACTGGAAGGCGGCGTCACCCTCCACATCCAAGGAGCCTACGCGCTTGGCGGGGGCCAGGAAGAGGAGGATGCAGCCCTTGGCGATGCGCTCCAGGTGCGGCAGCTTCTGCAGGTTCTTAAGCCAGTTGGGGGCGTCCGACCGCCCAATCTGCACGATGGCGTTGTTGTGCTTCACCATCTCGTCCAGGCGCTGGAAGAAGGCGGGGTTCTCCACGTCAGGCACCTGCGGTGAGGTTGGTCAGCGACGAGGGGGATGGGTGGGATGCCGTGCTCAAGATATTGAGCTTGCCACTTCCCGGGGGAGAGGCACACACATTCAGGTGAGAAATGCTGCGCCCACATGCCTTTCCCCCTTGGCAGGCGTACAACCTGTCAAAACTCCCACTTCAGACTCCCAGAATGCCTCCATCCCCCCTCTCACCTCAGGGAAGATGCGCTCCGTGGTGTTGTTTGTCTCCAGGATGACGTGCTTGTTGAAGCGCGTGGTGTCCATGCCCAACGACTCGTAGAAGAAGGAGCGCTGGTGGTCGTTAAGGTACATGGTGATGTATACGGACAGGCAGAAGAAGCGGGACCAGAGACGCGCCGCCGTGCCCTCAAGGAGCTCCGGCTGGCACTTCAGGGTGGCCGCCAGGAAGTCACCGTGCCGGGACTCATCCTGAGTATGTGGGGGTTGGGGTGCGGAAGGAGGGCTCAGGCCAGCCTTGACCTGGCAATCCCTCCACATGATGCACTCCCCAGGCATGTCGTGTGGCCAACCACCTCACCAGCCTTCACCTCCAGGCCGGTCCAAGCCCCACCCCTCGCCCCTCACCTGGCACCAATTCTCAAAGTACTCAAAGAGGGGGTACAGCTGGCAGTCGGGGTTGCGCTGGAGATGGCGGTAGATGCTGATGTAGCGCCAGTACCCGATCTTCTCCGACAGATAGGTGGCATAGATGATGAACTGCAGGGGGTGGGCAGGGAAAGTGGGGTAATTGAGGGAAGTGCCTCTGAGGCAGACTCACCAGCTGGAGAGCCAACGTCCATGACAGGCCAAGACGTCAGACTGGAGATGCCTGAACACTCCCCAATGAGAATCATTGCGCTGAATCCCATGCCTCCCACCTTGGGCTTGAAGAAAGTGTACTTGCGGTTGCGGGTCAGGAAGCCCAGATCCAACGCCAGGTTGAAGTCTTTGGACAATGGAGAAATGGATTCGACGTCACATTGTGCTTCAGATATACACATGAGTCGTCGCTATTCCAACCGCCAGTCATTGTGAGCACAGAATCAAACCAAGCCTTTCAACAGGCAAAAAAGCCAACGTGGCCCAGTCAAATATGGTCACACCACCCACCCCAAAGCACACTCACCGCTCATGGACTTGTTGATGAAACCCGCGTGCCGCGCCTCGTCGCGCGAGAGGAGGGTGAAGATCTCGGCGAGCACGGGGTTGGCCTTCTTCAGGCGCCGTCCCAGCTCCTTGTAGAGCAGGAAGCCGGAGAACTCAGCGGTGCAGGACCTCTCCAGGAACTCGATGAAGATCTTGCGCGTGTTCCCCGTCAGCTTCTTGGCCGCCTCAGGGAAGGTAGCGTTGCGCACAAAGTGGCACTGGTTGTAGTCGCGCCTGAACTCCGCCAGCATCGCCTCCAGCTCATCCATTTTCAGGTTGGGGTTCTCCTCCAGGGAGTACATCTTCTCCATCTCCTCGAAGTCGGTGGTGTAGAATCTGCGGCGGATCCGGGATGGACGCGTGATGACATCGGCCGCGCACCCACGCGGGATCTGATGCTTTGGCCCACCAGGTGCATTGGCCCAAGCCGTACTGTGTTGCTGTGTCACACATCCAAGCATGCGTTCACACCGGACCACACCGCGCACCGTGGTGTCAGGATGGTCTCCCCGCTGAACTCCTTCACGCCCTTGCGCATGAGCTTGAAACCCAGCTCGTCCCTCAGCTCATCGCCAGAAGCACCGGCGGTGGAGGCCGCCCTCATGGGCTGCGCGAAGGATCCCCGTCGGGGCACAGCCCTGGGGCCCTGCGCGAACCCTGCGCCGTGGGCCGTGAAAGGCTTGCAGGCCATCGTGGTGGACATCATCGCGCTCTGCATTTCAACTCAGTTTCTAATGATCCTGAGTCTCTTGCAGCTTTTCTATCCGCTCAGGGGGCTTGGAGACGTGTACCTTCACGTATGGGGTGATCATGGAACGGGCCACGTATCGGATAAGGAGCGATGCGCGGGAAATCGTATCTTGAGCCTGCCCGCGAAACCATAGCTTTTGGCAGAGTTCTGATGACAGGGACTCGTCATGAGTAGTCTAGTGTACTCATGTCAGGCCACAACATGATATCACCATTTCGTCGACTTGCACATCTGCTTGATAAGCAACAGCAAGGTCGCTTATCGGCAGCTTTCTCCCTGCACGCCATCATGCCCCCTGCCTAACCCTTGCGCATCATCGATTTCATTCCCCTGCGCTGCCTGATACGCTCCCTCCTCTCCAGCTCCTTCTCCCTCTGCTGAGGCGTCATGCGCCGCAACTTCTCCTGCCAGGGACATCAGAAGGTGCAGATGTGATCGCTAGCACCAGATGATGATATCTCTCTGACGCAAGCCACTACGACAGCTGGGCACACAGCCTGATGGCTAGTGATAGGAGCCGCCCCCCCCC